TCCCTCCTCTCCTGCTTTCTGCACCCTACACTGGGACTAAGCTGATGGAGCAGGCAATGAGGGTGGGGGCTGCCGGTTCACCAGTCACCTGGCCTCTGGGCTCAGACCAAGTAATAAAAGGGCTGTGACTGAAGGCTTCTCTTTAGAACTGGGATGCTCACTCTCCTCTCCCAGAGAGGCTAGGCTGAAAAAGCTTAAGGCCCAAAGGCAGCAGCCTGGCAAAAAGACAGGCATACCTGGTGCCTTTTACTTTTTTTTTTTTTTTTGGTGCCAAAGCTCAAACTCACAACCTGGTGTTTGCCAAGCAGGCACTTAGCTGCTGAGCTAAACCCCCGGCCCCTGGTGCCCCTAACTCTGTGTGGGACTTCTGCTCATCACAGGGGTTTCCAAGTCTTCCCTGGAAGGGTTCCAGGGAGTTAGGTGACAGAAAGGGGATTTGGGCTTTTCCTTCCTATACCCAGCGAGACGACAGACCTTTTGGAACTTTCCATAACAAACAGCTGGCTGTGGCACTTGTGCCATAGGTTCACCACCACTGTTACCATGCAAAGGTTGTGATAAAAAGCACACCCCCCCCCCCACATGGTAGCAGAGAACTTTCTTCAGGGCGTGGGGTGGGGGCTGTTCAGGACCCTGCTTCTCAAACCGGGGAAGTCCCTTGGAAACTGCATGGTTTACCCCCACTTATCCCCTTATTTCACAGAAAGAATGAAAATTCCTTAATTGCCTGAGCAGTTCTCATTTGGTGTGGGGTAGGGTTGTCATATCAGGAGGGAGGGTTCAGGGAGCTATGGACCTTCTTAAACCCCTCCTGCCCTAGTCCACTACTCCAGTCCTGTCCTGCCTGAGCCTGGGTCCAGTCAGCACCAGTCCAATTTGCATGCTGATCAAGCACTAACAAACGGGGACTGGGGGCAGCACACTGCCACCCACCTCTCTAGATGCAAGCTTCAGGCCTGGCCCCTGGACCTGTCTCTGCAAGCCTCTGGTGGGAAGAATTAAGAGTCAATTTTTGTCATCAAGAAATTGTTTCTAATTTGTCCTTTGACTAATGGCCCAGGGAACAATGGAGAGACACCAACACACAATTACCCAGCAGTGCTGCTCACTTGCTCTCTGGCCTGAGCAGGCATTTATTTGGAGCAAAGACTAATTCAAAATTTTATGCAACTTGTCTGACACCCTCCCTCATCTTAAAAAATGATTATTTTGGATAGTGGGACCTCAGTCATTTGGGAGCTGAGAGATCTAATCTGCTGGCAGTCTGAAGAGGTGTGCCTATGTGGTGAGGGAGAGCTGAAGGGTCTTTAGGGTGTGTTGGGGTGACGGTGGCCACAGTAGTTTCAGTGAGTGCTTCTACACCAGGACACTGTGTTGGTGTATGATTTGGACATATTGTATACATGCATATGTGGGAGTGATATGTCGTGTGAAATTCACACATGCAAGCATGTTATGGATTTATGTGTATACACAGCTGATGTGTGAGCACACATGTAAGTGGAGCACACGTAGCTGTGTACACATGTTCACAAATGTTCGTGTATGTGTGACTGTGTGATGAAGGCATGTGTGAGTGGTCAGGCCGAGGTGTCAAGGCACAGTTGTGTGTGGCAGCCACTCATCTTCACCCAGGCTGAAGGGATCCCTTAAGGGTGCTTGCTAAGCCTGCAGAAGTTACCAGTGCCCCCGCTGGGGAGAAATGGGACTGGGGGCTGCTGAATGTGTGAGCTGGTGACTGGGAATCTGAGGCCCAGCCCATTGAGAACCCAGGGCTTTATAAAACTTCACCTGACTGCAAAAGACCTGGATGTTCCAGGGTCAAGACTGACCTTAGGTTCATCATGCTTTCTCCTCTTTTTGCCCTTAAACCTGCAGATCCCCACACCACGCTCTTCAAAATTAAAAACATTTGTTAGCAAGGACAGAAGAAAGACCACAAGGGAAGTAGGGAGGTTTCCTCTTTGTGGATGTTAAGCCCAGCCAATGTGCTTGGGCCCTCTGGCTATGAGGCAGTCCTTCAAGGGGAACCCGGAAAGCTCATTCTGGTCCTGTGGAGGGCCAGCATAGGCACTGCGTGGCTCCGGTCCCTCACTGCATGCAGCAGGCCCATTGGCAGTCATGTGCCATAAGGACCATTTTGAAACAGTACTGAGAGAAGGAGGGGAGCCTCACTAGATTTATTCTAAGTGAACGATGAAGTAGAAGAGGGGAGCAGAAGCTTCCGGGTAGAGGCAGAGAGTTGCTCTGTGTGGCTGTGGCGGGGGTTGGGACACGACAGAGAGTTATCAGGGCCTTCCCAAGAGTGCACCCCAGAGATAGGGGATAGCACTTGGGGGCTGCAAAACCAGGTCTCACCCCCTTAAGTTAGCATCCGTGCTGCCATCAGCAGGATGTAAAGCTAGTATGGAGAGAAGAGAGGGAAAGGAGCAATCCTGCATCTGCCTGACTGGGGCTGGAGCAGACCTGTACCTCAGTGGGCTCCAGGCCCATCTCCTGCGGGGCGGGGGGTGGGTGACCTAGAGCGCGCTTTAGGTGACCTAGAGGTCTTTTCTGCTGGACCCCCAGGGTCTCCTAGGGGACCTAGAAACTGGGAGGGCTGAAGTATTCTCTGTTCGATCCGTGACTTTCTCCATGTATTTTTTTCTTGCTCGTATAAACAGCGATATATATATATATATACTTTTATACATATATATATATATATTTATATACTTTTATACATATATATATATATATATTTTTTTTTTCTCTTTAGTTGAAGTAGGGGTCTACAAATTAAAAGAGGAAAAAAAGATTTCTCGATCAGAAAACAAGCTCAGTAGAGAAAGCTTTGGGAACTCAGCTTCCAAAGAAGCACCGGAAACGCACCCTCTGCAAGGGGCACCCGGAGTAGGCTGAGATCCTGACTTACAGAGAAGGGAGCTGGGGTGGTCTCCTCAGTGTGTGTGGGAAGCGGGAAGCCTCCGCGTGCGCCCGCCGCTCTAGAGCTAAATCGACCCGGCTCCCCCGACATTTGCCAGGGCCGCGCCTTGCTGCCTAATTTTCTGAAGCCACTACGAACTCGGTGGTCCGCGACCCCCACCCGGCGCCTGCGCCGCCCCCTGGGCCTGTACCCAAGGACCTAACTCAATTGCTCTGGTTAATGAATAGCCGCGGACTAATCGGATCTCCGGGCGCTCCGGTGATTTACGCATCGCGCCCGGGGCCGAGCTGTCGCCGCGCCGTGCTACTGGCTAGAAGCCCGGGCCGCTGGAGTCCTGGGTACCAGCGTCGCGGTGCCGGAACCCCAAGCCGACCGGGCCAGGCCCCAGACCTCGTCTAGCGCCCCCGGCCCGACCCGCGAGGCCCTACTTACCTGGCGCCCCTCCCAGCAGCGCCGCCTCAAGCGGGCGCAGAACTAGGCCTGGCCCCCGGCGGGCGGGAAATCCCAGAGTCCCCGCCCGCGGCCCCTACCCCAGGTCAGCGCAGCCCGCGGGGGGCGAGACTGGTCAGGATGTCCGCCCGCTTCCCTTTTCTCTCTGGATTCCTTTGATCCTCGGGCTCTCTACCTCACCTCGGCTCCTCGGCTGCCAGGGTCGGCCCGCGGGGATCCTGGAAACGGTCCCCAGCTTATCTCCTTTCATCAAGCGGCCTTGGGCCGCCTTGAAACCGCGGAGGCAGTAATTGCTTTTTTCAGGAGGCCCAGTGCGGACTGGACAACAGCCAATCAGCGCCTTGTTTACACTCAGTGAGTGACAGGCTGCTGGCTGAGTGCCAACCAATCCCAGCGGTCCCGTGGGACAGGGCCCTAGGCTTAGGGGGGAGGCGGCGGGCGGAGACAGAAAGGAAACAACAGGCTGCGGGTTAACCCCTTCGCGTCCTCGCCGGAAGCAGGAGATAAAGAAATTCTAAGGCGTGTGAATGTGTCAGTTGGCATTTAGTTTACATATCCTATTTTTTTTTTCACGCGGAGAAAGAAGAGTAAAAAAAATGATGTATTCCTCGTGACTAAGACATCACCTCGGCTTCCCGAGAATAAATACCATTTGTATAGGAAACCAAATTCTCACCAAGATGCTTGCTTGCAGAATATTTTTTAACGTGGTTTGATTGTGATTACGGTGAAAAGAATTGTTCCGCGGCTATTTTCCAATGTAGTGAGAATGTAGCCGACATGCAGGAGGGCGGCTCTGAAAAATGCTAAGCCCCGTCTTTACACCAGGGCAACTTGCCTCAAAATTATCAAATGAGAAAGTACTTTTAAAACCTAGGAGCAGACAGAAAAGAGTCATTTTTGTCTTTGCAACAAGCCCTCGACTTTCCTTTTGGTTGCTGCTCTGCTGCAAAATCCCGCGGAGGGAGATAAAATTGAAGGTCTAGAACTTGACGTGAGGAGAAAGGCCTCGTCTCCCGATTCTTGAAGCGGGAAGAGGGCAGCGCCGTATCTGCCGTTCTGAAGCTCGCGTCTCCGCGGCGTGAGAAGGAACGCATTCCTGGGCTGGGGCCCGAGCGAGCCCGCCCGACGAGGTGTCCGGGTTTAGAAGTCGGCCCTATCGTGGTCCTTGTTCTGCGTCCTACCAGACAGATGCCAGGTATCCCAGAGGCATCTGCTTTTAGGGGTGTTGCTATTTCTTCTGGTATTCTGTGCACCGGAAGTCAAACGTTAGATCTGCTGGATTAAAAAAATAAAAAAGAAAGAAAAAGCCTTCGCTAAGCTTGGGAACGCGTTCTCACTCGCCCCTGCTTCCTCTCCCGCCCAGCGCTAACAGATTCCCATTCAGCAGCAATGATCTGCGCAGAGAAGCTGCGCACTCGCCAGGCTTGAATTAGGCGCCATCAGGCTCTGTAGTAGCCCTGCTGCTCCCTGATTGGCAGCTCCCTGGCTCGGCGCCAGCCTATTGGGAGGCCTGTTTACGCCGAATGAGTGGCACGAGCTCCAGTCCGTGGAGGGCCGCGCGGCCAATCAGCGCGCTGGCTGCTCGGGGGTGAGTGGCACGAGCTTATTAGTATGCAGGGCCCGTGGCTCGCCGCGCCGGGCTGCAGGCTTGAGAGCCGCTCTGGATGGGCTCGCTAGAGTCGTTGTTGTGGAAGCGGTGCATTTACAGTGCAACAGTCAGCACATTGAAAATACCAATAGGAATACAAAACAAAGTCACATTTACTGATTTAATTGTATTGCATTCAATTGTATCCAGGAAACAGCCTCCAGTAAGTAACTGAAATTGCTTTCATTTTTTGTATTTTTATTACTTTATTTTTTATTTTGGCTTTGGGGATTTACATTTTTTGGCAAGAAATTCAGAATTGTGGTGTTAAGAAATAATGTATCTTCCTTTTTAAAAATCCGTTATGTCGAGGTTTTTTTTTTTAAGTGGACTATATGATTTTTTTTTCCTCTCTGAAAAATCTTATTGATCGGTTTAAAATTCCCCTAGTAATGCGTCCTTGCCTTGCTCTGAGCGCTTGTTGTCTCGATCGACACCCAGCATTAAAAATAAATAATCGAGACAGGACGGGGACTACCTTGCAGCGTCCAGCGGAAGCCCCACGGGTGGCTCCGGGTGGACAGTCGGCGAGCTCCCAGCTCTAGAGAAACCACGAGCGAACCCCGATTACTTGCGTCCTCATCCTAGCCCCCTCCCCCGAGCGGTCCTGGATGGGCCCCGCCCGGTCGCTTGGCGGCACAGGGAGCCTGTCGGCTCCGGGGCCAGTGCCCAAAGGGGCTTTCCTGGTCGCGGCGAGGGTCGAGACGGGTGGGAGGGGTAACAGCGAGGTTTTTGGATTTCCCTTCATTTCTGAGCCTTTCAGAGAAAATGCTTTTCCGAAGGAGTGGGGGTGGAGGATGAGGGTCGAGGCTGAGGGCGTCTTCACCGTAAGCATACGGGGTAGCTTTCGTGGCGAGGTCCGCGAGAGTATACGTCCCCGGGCGTGGGGATCCGGCGCCACCCCAGCTCGCGTTCTTCTCCGTCGGGGGAGGGGCGGGCGCGGCCGTTTCGCAGGGAGCGGGTTCTGCAGCGCCGCTGGAATCACCGGCGCCCGGAGCGCGCTTGGCCCTGCAGGCCTGTTGCGGACCCCGAGCTCCGGAGACGGAGCCGGAGGGAAACAGACGAGCGGGGATCCAGGCTCTCAGTGGGCCTCAAAAGCGAAGGGTGAGGGGTTAGAAGGAAAAGTTGAACACAACGCAAACCTGTATAAACCCGGGATCCCAGAGCGCGGGAAGGAGAAAGCGGCGGCTCCGGGGGTCACGCCCTACCTCCTTGGGTAGGCGATGCGAGGTTCGCTTCTTTCCAAAAGGCCATTGTCGGGGATTCTCTGCCCTGCGCGGGGTCCTCTGCCCGCCACCGTTTTCATTGCATTTGTTCCTTGGTTCAGCCCTATTTTGGGGTCCTCCTCGGCGGCCTGTCCCAGGGCGGGGGAGATGGTGGGCTCGGAACCCCGGAGCGCGGCGGGTGGCGGCGCCGCAGCTCCTGGCCTTGGGACTGATTCACAGCCTTGGCCGCTGTGGCCGCTCACTGCCTGGCGACTCGGACTCCTGCGGGCAGGCGGCACTCGCGGCGTGGCGGCTCCGTAGCAGCGGAGAGCACAAAGAAAAACCCTCGCCAGTCTAGTGGGAATCGCGGCGGCACACACCAGTTATTTAGTCCACTCCTTTGGTGTAAAAAGCCGAGTAGATCGGTCGGAAAGGAGCCAGTGAGCTAGCGATCCTCCCGCAGAAGGTGGAAGAGTAAAGTTGCCGCTCGGTCCCAGAGCCCGCGTCTCAAGAATCGCGAGCAGCTCGCGCTTTCTCGACAATTTCCGTATTTCTTAGTGGAAAGAAGAGGGGGGAAAACACCCACAAAACAAAGGCCGAACACACATTGACTACCCTGAGGCCGCCGGGAGGCTCACAGCCCCTGCTCGCAGTTCGACCCCTCTCGGGCCCTCGGCGCCTTTGAAGCCGCAGGCTCCTGACCTCCCTCCCCTTCCAGCTTTCCCTTTGTCCTGCCCGGCGCCCTCCAGGACTTAACAGGCGCCGGCCAGCCCGGGCGCGCAAGCCCCTCGCCCGGCCCCTCAGCCCCTCCTCTGACCCCGGCGCGAGTAGCTCTTCGGCCTGCTGCTCTTGGCCATTGCGGCCTGGCTCGAAAGCCCGAGCGGCGGTTAGCTGAGTTGTTTGTTGGACCGGGGAAAAGTGTGGATCCCCTGAGGGAAGAGAGCCCTAAACCCTTTGTATGCAGTTTTGAGACAAAGAGAACTCTTTGTGTAGTCCCGTTTATTTACAATGCAAAAGCTCCCCGAATAAATATTAAAAAAGCTTATCAGCTGAACAAATATGTATTCACTTAATACATTATGTTTTCGGTTATAGATTAAATCAGACACAAAATAGTCTGCAAATAAGACGTTGTAGAACCTAGAGCATAAAATATAGCAATTTAAAATGGTATTTATGAAATAGAAAACATCTTAATCGCTTTGTTGTCACGGTGGGTAGGCTAAAGAAACCACCATAAGGCTTTCTGCAAACTTCACAATTAAGAATATAGAGCCCATCCATCTCCCTTATGTTGGAGGTGATACCAAACATTAAAACAATGCATGTTTAGGAAATAAGGAGAAATATGTAGAATGACAAAGGGTAAGAACCTTTGGTGGCACGTGCATGGTGGTGCTCTTTAAAGCTCTTGCTTGAGTCCAGTCTGAAATTGTCCCCAATTTTACCAGGGAGTGGGCTCCGAGGTAGGTGGGGGTGGAAGAAAAACGAGGTGAGGGTCATTTTTAGGTAGCCCTGAGGAAGATGGAGTGGGGGGGGGTGGGCGATAGTTGCAGATCTGCTGGGATCTGGGCATGGGTTAAGACTTCTGCTGGGCTGATCCTCCTGAGCTGTAGCTGCAGATCCCACATCCTGGGCGGCTGGGCCATGCGGAGACTGGCCCTGGCTGGACAATCTCAGGCAAGCACTGAATGGAGAGATGCCGAGGTCTATTTGGGTGGCTGAGAGAGAACAATTTGTGACTTTCAAAGCCCCCGGTCTGCAAAGGAAAATCCTGGGCGAATCTGATTGGGGGTGGGGTGGGGTGATTGTTCAGTCTCTTCAGGAAGCTCCGGGCTTGGGGACAGCAGGCCAGGCACTGCGGCGTGGTGGCCCAGGTGATGCTAGTGACGGTCGTGGGGCACCCGGGGCAGCCGGGAGTTGGCTTGGTGTCCTGGTACAGTGCTAGCAGGCGGAGGCTCGTCCCATTGGGACGGGGGGGGGGGTGCGACAGATTCAAAAGAATGGACTGAAAAGACGCATGGAGGGATGGGAGAGGAGAGAAAAGAAAGGTTATAAAAAAAACTCTTGAGTTACGATCAATAAAATTACTCGCTTAATTAGCATGGTTATTCGGTTAAGCGGAATGTAGTATAAAGCTGGACCTCGGACGGTCGAGGGAAAAAAGAGCGTGGACCCCAGGCCTTTTCCTCCGAGACACCTTTGGGCAGCGGGGGAGGGGAGAGGGTGTGAGTGTGTGTGTGTGTGTGTGTGTGTGTGTGTGCGCGCGCGCGCGCGCGCGCAAGTGTGCGTGATGGGTTCGCAGATTTGGGATTTTATCACCCAGCGGAGCCAGCAGTCTCTTCCACACGGTGCCCTCAGTGTAGGGACCTGTGGGGACGCAAAGGGGAAGCAGTGCTCAGCGTGGTCAGGTCGCCCTCTGTTCCTCCAGGCCGAGGATAACCCGCACGGTTCGTGTGCACGCGGAGACCTGGGTGCAGGACGACCCGGGTGGCCCAGCGTGCAGCAAGGAGACGCACCTAGCGCTTCGGCCCGGCCCGGCCCAAGGAGGGGGCGGGTGGAGGGTGCCGAGCCCCCGAGTCAACCAGTGTTTTCTGCTTGCTTCCGCAGACTATGGAAGTGCACGGCGGCCGCCGGCTTGGGGTTCGGCCGCCCGCCGAGAAGCCCAGTCCGCCAGCGTGCTGACGGGCACGCCGCCCCTGTCGCCGGTGACCCCGGACACCGCCTCCTCCGCACCGTCCGCGCGCCGCCTGTGCGCCCAGTTGCCCCCGGGCCCCGGCCACGCTGCTCCCGGGAGGCAGCAGCTGGCCGGGGCCGGGGCTGGGGCCGGAGCCGGGCATGGATGGCCGCGACTTTGCACCGCCGCCGCATCTCCTGTCGGAGCGTGGGAGCCTGGGCCACCGCGGCTCTGCAGCCGCGCGCCTCGCCCCAGCCGGTCCCACCGCGCAGCCTTCCGCGCACTTCCAACCGGGGAAATATTTCCCGTCGCCGCTGCCCATGGCTTCGCACACAGGTCAGTGCCCATGCTCGGTGGGTGCAGGATGGGAGGCCCACTGTGCAGTGCAGACGTTAGGTGAGGATGTTTAATAGTCGGACGGCGCCCGCCCCGCAGTTCCCGGGAGCAGTTCTCAAGCTTTGGTTTCATTTCCCAGCCAGCGCGGAGGGGGCTTCGCTCCTTGCCAGCCCGGGAGCCTGGTCTAGTAGTGATTTACAGAGGCCTTTCCTGGGCGTGGGGGGGGGGTGGTCTCAGGCAGCCGGCTAAAAATAAAACCTTCCGTTTCTGGCCACCTACCCTCACCTATTCCAGCAAAACCAAATTGAGAGAACCTTTTTTTTTTTTTTTTTTTTTTTTGCATTCTCCTTTCACCTCCTTAGGTACTTAGGATGCTCCGGGACTAAGACTAGAAAGTGCTGTCCGCGGGAACCAAAAGGCTGTGTGGCTGGGGGAGGGGGCCTGGCGCGCCGAGCGCGGCAGATTAGGGCAGTGTGTGCGGGGCGAGTGCTAATGGGGACTGCTGGTGTAAGACGAGCAAATCCTGTTTCTATATAAAGCCTTGAAGTGTCAGGGCGAGAATGGGTTTGCAGGGGATGCGTTAGCTTTAACAAGTGCCTTTGGCATGTCGCTAAAGCCGGACAAAGCATGGCCAGAGTGCGGCCAGCAAGCAGCCCGCACCTAGGGAGGGCAGCGCTGCGCTGTGTGCCGGATTTCGGTGCAGGCGAGTCCCCGGTGAGTGTGCCCCAGAGGAGACAGCCGGGGGCGGCCAGAGGGCGCCCAGCTTGCGGACTCCTCCATGCATCGTGCACCTTGCAATCCGAAAGGTCCGTCCTTGGCAGAGCCCACCAAGGCCGCGCTCGGTTTAGGCATGGATCCTGGCATTGGGGGAGGTCTGGGAGAAGGGCCATTGCTACACTCCTCTCAGTGGAAGACTTTGGGGAAGCAGGAGAGGTTGAGAGTGGGACACACTGATCACCTCGCAAAACAACTTGATTTTGTTTAGCTTGTTATAAACATCAGAAATGTTTGTAGGTTTTTTTGTGTGTATTCGGCAGTAACCGTTATTATTGCTAGCTTGATGAACTGTGAATACTAATAAAATTATATCTGCTTTAATGGGATTACAATTAGTGTGGATTAAAACGGATGGCACAGACTGGGCTAGAAGCGTTGGAAGGGAAGGCAGTCAAAAAGAAAAACATACATTTTCTTTAAAAAAAAAACAAAACAAAAACAAAAACAAAAAAAACCTCAAAATTGCCTGACAACTAAGGAGCTATGAATATGTTCAGCTCAAGGGCCCTCCAGCTCACGCATTCGGTCTCCCTGGGCTCCATGCTGGGTCAGCCTCACTCTTCTCCTTTCTTTTCCAGCTGGAGTCTCCAGCCAGACTGCCCTGTTCTCTCCACTGTTCTCTCCCTTTCCTTTTCTCCAGATTTATAACTGGAAAGAGAAAAAGTACTTGCCTGAGCAATTGGTGATTTAAAAATATCCCTTCTGCTGTCTCTGCGGTTATTAAGTATCTCTTTCCACCCTTACGCTGAGATGCTGCCCACCAGAGCAGGCCCCACTGGACTGTGAGGAAGGGGTTCATGGGTGGCTGCAGGGGAAGGTTTCCCAGCTTCCCCATCAGCCCCTGCTCTGGCCCCCCTCTGGGGGGCGGGGAGACCCAGCCTTGGTGGGGAGGATGGGGAGAGAGCTGTCCTTCTCCAGCATACTATGCCCTCTAGCCTGGCAGGTCACAGGGCCACCTAGGGAAGGGGCCCCCTGACATCAAGGCTTTCATAGGGGTGCCCAGGTGGGCTAGGTGCCATCCCATTGGGAAGGCCAGCCCAGGCTGGATTCCTCATCTGTTCAGGTCACTGCTGACCCTATTCACCAGCCCACTGCTAAGCCAGCTCCTGGTCAGCCACCCTTCTACCCTTGTTTCTAGATCTTGGTAACACCCAGTCAGGTGGGAGCATGGTGGGTAGCCTGGACCTTTGTCTTGCTCATTCTAAGTTTGACCATGCGGTTCTTACAACACAGGCTGCAGAGGGGTGTGAGGAATTACGCTCGGTTCTGGACTGGCCTGTGTCCTTCATCCCTGTTACTTGACCCCATGCCCTTCCCACTACTCCCATGCCCTGGGGGCTCCAGTAAATGCTGGAGGTCCCCCAAACTCCCTCTTTTGGGGCTGGAGGGCCACTTGTGCTCTGCTTCTAGAGGCCCAATTCTTTTCCTCCCCTGGGGACTAGAGGGACCTATTGTGCTTGGAGATGTCTGATCTGACTGTGATAGGAAGCCTTCGTGGCATGCAGGGCTGGCAGCTGCAGCTGGACGCCTTTTGCAACTGCAGAGAGCCAGGATATCATATTAGTTTTTAAGATTTCACTGCATGTATTTTTTAAAAGTTATACCCTGGATCCCTTTGCCTTAGTCTGTGTCTACATAGGATCTAATTTAGACAGAAATAGGTGTAATGAAGTTAAACAATTTCTGTGTTTCATGTGTGGATTTACAAATGACCAGTTTGGACTTTCTTCCCATTTCCATGGATGCCCTGGGTTGCAGGCCAGCATTGCAAAAGCCCAGCAGCCCGTCCAAAACAATTGCTGCAGTTTCTTCCCAGTGTTGGGCTCTCACTGGAGCCAAGGACCCCAGCGAGGCACTGGTTTTTCAGGAGCTGCCTTTCCTGGCCGATCGCCCTGCCTGCGTGGTCTGGCAGCATAGCCCAGGCTGGGCTGAGGGTCTCTCCACCAGCTGCCCTCTGTTCCCACCCAGCATTTGCACAGCATCAGCCTTCGGGAGATAGGGGTATGGCTCAAAGGGCTACAGGCTTTAGGGCTTCTCCTCCCATTGTTTTTCCAAAATGAAAGTACTTTATGTTTGGCTGTAGGTTTTTATGGTAAAGTGTTGTTCCAGTAACCTTGTCACCAAAAGGTGCAGTTAAAATGTTTGGAACTATTATTTTTAGTGCAGTGTTAGATTTTGTCTCTAATACAGATGGTCCGGAGGCAAAACTGTGAAATGGGGGAGGGGGAAAAAAGAAAAGAAAATCAACAAGAACTAGCCCAAGATTTCCCATCAGTGCTACTGCCTGGAGCAATTGAGGATCTTGCCAGAGCAACGCTCAAGAGCCTTAAACAAGAGGCAGTCCTGGCCTGGGGGGAGCCCGGAGTCCTGTGCATATCCGGTTCCTCCCCCTTCTGGCTGGGTCAGCTTTGGTCCCCCCTCAGGGCAGGGTCTCCACCAAGGGGCTATTTCAAGGCTTGGTTTGAATAATCTTCGTCCCTCCCCTTGTCTTTGGGCTCTGAATTGTCCCTGCCTGGAGAGCCAGGTGCCCTGGGCTTGGGTTGTTGCAGGACCCAAGCCCCTCTAGCAGGGAATTGCAAACTTCCTTCCCGCTGAAAGTACTCAGGTAGCCAGTCTGGTGAAATAAATAAAATAACCCCCAAGTCCCACCCAGCTCTGAAATTTTAAAAAAAAAAAAAAAAAAAAAAAGAATTCCCTGGTGTGAAAAGACCCCATCCAGTTTCCCCTTCCCTCATCACGTAGGGTTTTTTGTAAAGAAAAAAATACATTTTCGTAAATACCTCATTAACTCTATGACAGGATGGAGTGTCTCTGCAGCATTTACCAACATTAAGTAGGTGTGAAAAGAGTTACTTTCCGAAGACTCTACCCATCCTGTTCACTAAGTGACAGAGCTAGACATCAAAGCTGCCGCCCGTGCCCAGTGGAGCTGCGGGAATCCGGGAATCTGGCGGCTGGGCTTGGGGACTGGGCCGGCTGTGGCTGCACTGCCCCACCAAAGCTGTTTGTGGAATGTGGGGGTTTTTTCCTCTGTGGGGCTTGTGCTGCCACGGTGTCCCTTAGGGAGACACCGAGTTTTCCATAGGAATATGCAGGTCACGTGAGCAATAGGCAAATTAGTGATCGAGGCGGGGAGCAGCATCACACAGATAGCGCATCTCCCCCGAAAACACACGCACCCCCAAACATTCCCTGGTTATTCTTAGAAATCTCTCTCTTCTCTCGCTAGACAGGGTTCAACAGCCGCACAGACAGGACAGAACGCATAGGAGGTTGTTAGAATAACATGGATGAGGCTAAAAATACCCCTCAGAAACACACATAAAAAAGCCAAATCCAACAACAGAACGAGCTAAAAATATTTCAGGCTTTGGCAAAGAGCACAGAGTTAAATAAATTATACAAGAGCCATTCATGGGAGCAAGTTGACTTTCTCTCTTACGGGAACTTGGTTCAAGCTAATAAAAATAATAATTTACTGGCCACTGAGCTTTGCATGAGTTTAAATTTAATTGGTGAGGCTTCTGGCGTTTGTCACTTCTTGGCGATTAGCGCGTTTGCCCCGGCATGGGAAGGGTTGGGGAGGGGTGTGGAGGCTAGGGTGCTCAAGAATCAGGGTCCCCAGGAGACCAGAGGAACAGGAGTGAGGTTGCTGGGGGTCTGGGAAGACAGAGCAGGAATGAGCAAGGCACGGCTATTTTAATTTGATAAATGATCATACACCTTTAAGAGTGTGTTTTAACAATCAAGATACACTCCAGCAAGTTGATAGGATGTTCGCTGTCAACTTACATATGTCATCAGAGCGGGCTGTGAGCATAAATAATGTGCAGGCGAGTGCTTGGTGTGCCTGTAGCCTCTCCTGCAGGCCAAGGCTAGCAGGTAGCACCTGGTCCTCTCTCTCAGTGTCTGAAGACCATAGCCAGACGAGGACAGAAGTGAGAGGCTTTCAACTTGGCAGATTTGGTCTGGATCCCTCATTCTGGTGAGCTCCTAGGCATCCACACCCAAAATAAGTACACCAGGACTCCTTGCTTGGAGGAAAACACTTGTGTCGATCTGAGGGAGGCAGCAGATGTTGAAATGAAACCATTTCCCAGGAATCCTAAACCTCTACTCTGAGACTGAGGTCAGGATAGGCCCCTTTGCTCTGTGCTCTTCCTTGGCTGTTCCTTAACTAAACACTGCCCAAATTCTGGCCAGTTCTAACTCCCTAAGGACTACGTTCCCCAGAATGCATTGCTCTAGCTTCAGGGTCCTGCCTGGGACCTTGTAAGTCCCTGCTTTGGGAATTCCCAGGCACAAATAGAATTCAACCAGTGCCACTGGGAATAAATGCTTTCTGGGCCAGCATGGCCAGAGCTGTGGTCCTCACCCTAGCACCCCATTGCCCTTTCTCCTTGAAGGCCTCCTTCCACTTGGCTTCCTTCCTATCATAAATATCTGAAAACCCCTAAAAAAAAAAAAAAAAATTCAGCTGCCCCTCAGCCCCTCCCCCTTCACCATTTGTGAATATCAGGCCAGAGTCCCATGAAAGACTGTTACCGGGCCACTAAGCTCAGCCTGTGCAGCCTGTGCCTTCCTTTGGAAAACCCTTCTTGAATAGTGCACATCCTAGGGAGTCCCAGTTTGGGGTGGCAACCCCCACCTTGCCCTCCTTACATCCCTAACTCACAGCAGTACTTAATAGCGTGGAGAATTCCCAAGAGGAGCCACCCCCCAGGCTCCTGTAGAGAAAGGCTGGCTGTCCTCACCTTCTCTGGGGAAGTTCTCAAACTCCCAGGGGACACCTCCCGGAGTGGAGGTGGCCTGCCCCAGGCACTCCTTGGAAGGGCTCCAGAAAGTCTCCTTGGGTGTGTGTTTATGGTTGCTTTGAAGATACGCTGTGAACGGGCTTTAGGTTGCAAAGCACGTGCCCTGTGTATATGGCAAATAGGTTGCTTGTTCTGCCCAGTGTCCACCCCCTTACTTGCAGGGAGAAGTTCCCCCAGGGTTCCCCTGGCCCCTTTAACCCCTGGGAGCTCATTTTCCCCCACCACAGACAAGGTGTAACAAGCAAAAACCAAAATCACAACCCAACAGGCAATACCTAGAGAAGGACCTGAGAGTCCAGTGGTGCTGAGGAGGCTGGGTGCCTCGGAGGGCCTCCAGCTTGGGGCAGCACTCCGCTTTGGCTCTGACGCCCTGCCTGCTGACGTTTTTATGGGATAATATACCGTTTAGATCATGTGGGCCTATTTGTCAGTGGGCTGCCCCTGTTTGCTGTAATACATGGTATCGCTGCCTCCTGTGGCCTGGTGAACAGCTGTCACCACAGGTTCTGGAGACTGGTGGGTGCTGGGCAGGGGGTACCCATCCCCTGGTTACAAAGTCAGTGCTGGGTTTGCAGCAGGCTTCAGGCCTGCAGGCTGGCATGGGCTGGTTGCTACTGCAGCTGTCCTGCGATCAGGTTCCAGATTGGTCCAGCCAGAACGTGTTTCCTTCATGGTGACCTGAGGGGAGGAACAGGTGGGTTGGCTCCTGTCACCTCTTTCCCCCCCTCTCCTTTCCCCTCCCTGAACAAAGAGGCCTGTGTGTTTGGACACAAAGATTTTGGGGCTGACTGGGGTGCTCCCTTCTCCTGTGTTGGTGGAAGACTCCCTGTGTGCCAGGGACCAGAAGGAAGCAGCTTTTTTCCCCTACCTCGGCACAAGGACTTAGTTCTGCAGACAAAAATTCCAGAAATGTGGCAGGGCAGTGAGAATGGTATGTCTGATTGCGACTTCTGAGCACTGGTCTGGGGTCCCTGAGACAGAGGGTGATAAGGGGGAGTGCTTTTTGCGGGCATGCACCCTGCTCCCCTATCCTTAACCATATTAGATAAAAAGTACAGCAGCCCACACTGTTGCTTTCATGAACAAATCTGGAACCTAATCGCAAGACAGCTGTGGGAGCAGCCAGTGGACAGCAGCCTGCCGCTTCCCACTGGCTGCCTTTCTTTTGCCAGCCTGTCCTTATGTGGTGTCTAAGGGCTTTCTCTCCCTGGGCTTCTGGGAGGTACGTGGAGCCTGCACCCCAGAGCCAGGCTAGTAGGGCTCTCAGGACCCGTGTGCTGAGCAGCTGTGCAATCAGTGAATGGATTCAAGGAGGATGTGGTCCGGTTTGGTTGAGCAGGTTGGGCACAGCTAGACAGGGAGCCTGTAAAACCCAACTCAGGGTAAAGGCGCCGTGGTAGGCTTGGGAAAGGGGCTGCTGGGGGTGTATCCCTCGGGGGCTGCAGGGTTTTCCTGGTCCTGCAGATGGCCAAATTGTGTCTTCTTCAAAGCCTGCAGTGTGGATCTTGTGGTAAATGTCCCTCCAGCCAGCCCAGCCACCATGGCCCTTGCAGTCCACAGTGGACTGGCTAGTAGTCCACCCACTACTAGCTTACGCCTGCCTTTCTGCAAGCTCACACTCACTCGTGCTTCTGCTGTCCCTCTCATACTGGCCTGCAATGGCCTTTAGGGAACTGCATTCCAGCAGCCCTGGCAGAACAAGCCTTCCCCATGATGAGACACACAGCCTGTTCCTTCAGCACGTCCTTCTTGCCTGCTCTGTCCTTTGGCTCCTGGTGCCTGCTGGGGGAACTAGGCCTCAGGTCCCCAGTGACTTGCTCCTCAGTACACAGCCCCTCAGTCCCCCATTATTCCCCTCTGCGTGCTGAAGATCATATACCTCTCCACCCCAATCTACTGAACTTGGCCAGGCTTTTCCTGAGCTCCCACTTTGCATGAAGGTGTTCTCAGGTCCAGTTCATCTGGACACTGAACCAGCCTGTCCTGCTCTTGTCAGCTCCCTGCCCTGTCCCTATGCCCACCCCTGCCCAGCCATTGGCTGTGGCTGTGCTTACCTTGCCCCATGGGATTCTCAACCCTGTCCCCAGGTAGCTCTAGTGTAGCTGCTGTCACTGGCTGACTCCTCACACGCCTGCCCATTTTAACGAGGGTTCACCACTCTCAATTGCCTTGCACCCTGCAACCTGGTGCTGCCCGTTCCTGGCACTTCCTCCGGGCTCCACCCAGAGGTTCTGACCTGGTGGGGTCCTGCCTCATGGTAGGACTCTGACCATCCCTGATGAGTTCTGCCTGATGGGGAATACACATATATCTGGAAGCAAAAGCCAGTGACTGTTGGAGTCACAGTACAAGGAGCAGGTGAGGATGGACTTGGGGGTTACCCCCCCCAATGTGGCAGTGTGTGGCTGCGTAAGGCAGGGGTAGGCACATGCATGTCAAGAAGGAAGAGGGACCATATGTGCATCTGCAGACATTACCCAGCAGGGGGATAGGCAGGACCCTGGAGAGGAGAGATGGTAGGCAGGGGCTGTGAACCTCTTTCCTGCCCCCACCATGTCTCTATGCATAGGCTCTCACAAGAGCACCTGCTGGGCACCTGAGCTGGGCCAGCAACTGGGAATAGTCATGGCACCAGAGACTTATGTCACCAAGTCACAATGCCACCACCTTGAGCATCCAGAGATCCCTCCTGAGCCTAAGGTCCCTGTGGACCATGGTTTACTTGGTGCATGCTGGTCCCTGACAGTTGAGCTACCTGAACTCCCTGAGTCATAGTCTCCTGTCTCTGAGATGGGTACAGCTATCCCCAACTGGAGGGTTCTCTGTGACTTGGGGCATAGTCCTGGCTTGGTGCCCACCCCTTGTGGGCTTCCTTACCTTCCCTGTCACCTGAGAGTTGGTCCCAGGAGCCCCCAGAGTTGACCAGACTCCCCTGGAACCCCTAGGTCTTTAATGAAGGGTACAGGGTCACTTGCCCATGGTGGGGGCAGGAAAGCCCAAAGCCCCCTAGGCAAGCCCAAAGGTCTATGGGTGGTGGGCCAGGCCAGAGACTGAGAGCCCTCCTTGGCCAGTCCCTCCTCACAGTTCAACTTGGGCTCTGCAACCCTGAGATCACTGTCTAGCCTCACAACTAGGACCCTCAGGCCCTTGGCTTCAGTACCCTGCTCAAGTCCAGCCCCTGTCACTACCATCATCACCCTCAGTGTGTCATGGCAGGTGTGATGCTCCTGGAGTAGGCCTATGTTGCCCTGCCCTGGGACTGTGGGCCTGAGCAGGGCTGATCTATAGGCCCTGGGGCCCAGGCAGTGCCATGAGGAACCCTTGGACTAATAGATGGAATGTAGGATATAAAGGGATCCTTCATGGGTTGCCTGGTCTGTTGTGTTCTAGGTCTGTATGAACCCCTCTTCCCCTTCCCCCACAGCAACAGACAAGTAAGACACCAACAGGCCACCTGGGCCAGGAAGCTGGGACCCTGCTTGCCTTCTCTTCCACACTAGCTTTCAGGGTAGCTGTCCCAGGCCCCCTCCCTCTACCCCGGCCCAGACAGGAATAGAGCCTGACCTATGTGTGGTAGCTGGGATGGAGGACCAGGACTCTGACACCCCTGGCCAATGACGGGGTCCTGGAGTGCATGGACCTCCTTGTCCTATCTAGAAAGAAAAGCAGCCGGATTCCACCATGGCCTTTTCTGCTCTGTCTAACCAGTTCCCCAGGCACCATGGTCACTACAGGCCAGCAGGTCATTTGTAGGCAGCTTGCCTAGAAGCCAGTCCCTTTTCTGAGACATTTTGCATCCCTTTGGGTATCCTAAAAATAAACCTTTAATTTGCTTTAAATTAATGTTAAAATTAAATCTGAATTAAATTGTAATGCATCTTTAGGCTAACCCTGAAAACCCCCTTACTGTATGTGAATACAGATAAAAATCAAAGAAAATGAGGAAACTGCCACAAGGCCATCCTCATCTTTTGTGACAAGGTGCACAGTTGGTGGTAAATATTTAGTAAAAACGCAGATTACCAAGTCCACAATCCCTAAGATGGAGAGGGCCAGGAAATGCTCAGAGGGCAGGCACAGGTGTGACAGCCACACTTGCCCTGCACAACTGGGGACTGCTTTTCCATCGTGGGTCCTTAGGACCTGTTGGCTGGGCACCACCTGGGGAGGCGTCCCCTGAGTCTGCACTTGAAGTTTTTCTGCAGATGCAGGCCTGTCCCCTGTGTTGCTGACTCCCTCCTGGGCTTCCTTCATCTCCCTGGAGGTTCTGTGTCTGTCCTGGACACACACACACACCCATTGTCTGGTCTCTGGATATTAGGTTAGTTAATGCCACATATCAGACTATCCCCAAATTCAGCACGTGCAAACAGCAAATGTTTGTTAGCTCACAATTGTATGTGCCAGGAGTCAGGGGTACAGTGTTAGATGGGCCGTGAGCATCTCAAAGTGCAATTGTGGGGTCACCTTCCAAGCTTTCCCCTCTGGCTGTCTGCAATCTCTGGTCCATGCCAGCCACTGGTGGGAGATGGTGCCTTCCCATCAGGTAGTGCTTGGTATGGCAGCAAGCTCTGCTTACCCAGAGCGAGTGGAGCCCTGGGTCTCTGCAGTAGTCTTGCCTCAGGGTGGTGGTCCTTTGCTTTCCCATGTTCTGTTCATAGGAGCAAGTCTGGGTCCTGTGCACACTGAAAGGAAAAGACCAGGGGCCAGGGGTGTAGCTCAGCAGCACAGCACCTGCCTGGCAAGCATGAGGTCGTGAGTTTGACTCTCAATATCCCCCCCCCCCAAAAAAAAGGAAAAGATGACAAAGCAGTGGGTTGGGGTCATTGGAAGCCATTCCACTCCTTCCATGGCCGTAACTCCTCAGGGTGGATGTCCAAGGTCCTCCTGACTCTACATGTCCTCCTACACCCCTCCCAAGTCCCACCTGCACTGCAGGCCCCGGCACTGCTGTCTACTACAGACCCTCTGCCATCTGACTTAGGGTCAGCCTGCTCCTGGTTGGGCTGCCTGCAAGTGGAGTGAGCTGGCCTGTAGCAACGAGAGGTCTGTTGAGAGCCAGGGCCACAGGTCAGTGTACTTAGCTGCCTGAGTGTCCTCAGATTCCAGGCTGGGCTGGGTGAGGGTGGGTGACCCTGGCACAGGGCACTCAACCCATCTAATGAATGAGCTGGGGTCAGATTTCATTCTCTGGCCACTACCCAGGACCTGCTCTGTGGCTTGGACAATGGGGGTTTGTACCCTCCAGTCTGGGGCAGTACTTTCTGCAGCTGTTTCTATGCCAACTGCCTACCCTAGCAGGGTCAGTGGATGCCTGGGCCCCACTCTGGTACTCCCCCAGCCCTCCTTGGGCCAGTCCAAGCTCTGGGACTGACACTAGACAGCTCCACTTCCCTGGGGCAGCAAGCTGGACCAGAGGTTCTTAGAGCTGTGAGCATTTGGGGGTCAGTCATGGTTTTCTAGGCCCTTCAAAACTGGTGCCTAGAAACTTTCAGCTCTGGCAGCTCTGGCCCCTCCCCATGATCACCCTGTGCTCACTCCCCACAAGGCCAGGGAGCAGTCACTTGCCACTCCACCTGAGGAGCAGGTCCTACGTGGGTGGCACAGGCTCAGTGAGGTCATTTGCTTACCTAGTAGTCACGACCCCTGTACTGATGAGAGAGCTCCTCCTGCACTGTCCCAGACTATTGTGGCCCCTGGTTACATACCCTGCAGTGGTGGGCTGAGGGGAGGCCAGATTGCTGGGGCAGGTGGCATTGCTTGCCTTCCTGCTGAGTCTTCTCTCTCTAGGTCTCCTGCTGGGGTCCAGGCTGTCCTCTTTAGCTGACTGGCTCTGGTCAGTCCTGGATGCCCTCCTCCCTTCTTCTAGGGGGCCCCATTCAGTGGGAGTGGCAGCTCTGTCCCAGGAACTGTGTTCATCCTGCTCCCAAAAGCATATTTCTACCTCAGGACGTGGGGGTGTTCCTTGTATTCTGTTCTGTTGCAGCGTTGTCCTTGGAGACAGGAGCCAGATCTCCTGGCTCTGTCCTCAGAGTTTGCAGCAGCTCTGACCTCTAGTATCGGAGAGCATCCCAGAACCAGAAAGCAGGGCGCCTGGGGAGGACCCCTTTGCTTGGGTTGGAAAGACTGAAGTCACTAAGCTCAGTCTCAACTTTGCTCTGTGGCCTCAGCTGCCTCAGCCCCTGTGCCTCTGTGTCCCCACTTGGAAGTTATGAAGGACACCCCAGGGCATCTGGGAGGGAGTGTGTACTTGTATCATTCCAGGGGCCAAGCGGTCCCCACCTCTGCCTGGCTCCCCACCATGGTGATGCAATCTTGCTGAGAAATAAGCGAGCGTTTCACACTAATTGGATCCTGTATTTTCCCACTTGCCTAGTCCCTGCCCACCAGGCCCCTGCAAAGTGTTTCAGCTTCTCATGCTCCCTCTACACGCATGCTCTGTGCGCTCTCAAGGGTGCTGTGTCCTCCCCACCAGACTGCCCTACATCTTGGGTCCCCAGATGTGAATTCACATGAGCTGGGAGGCTGTCCCCGAGGGCGGCAGCCTGCATTGTCTTGAACTTTCCCTGCTTTCTTCTCCCATAGGCTGTTCATGTAGGAACTGACATTCCCACTCCCCAAGTTACCCTGGGCCCCAGGGCTAGCACTGAAGAGTAGTAGGGGACAGAAGCCTGTTCTGTCCTTGGGCCCACACCTGAGTGCTGAGTGGATGGTCTCTTGATGGTGAGGAATGCCAGGGAGGAAGGCCTCCATTGAGAAGGAGTCCAGGCAGGGCTTTACAGAGGAGGCTGGGCTGGCTGTGACTGGAGTGGGACACCATGCATATCCCCAAAGGGGCAGCGCTGGAGTGTGAGCTTCAGAGTGCCTTAAGCCAGCTAGCTGTGCCTGAAGCAGTTGCTTAGGAAATAAGAACAAAAGGCTGTAATGGCAGCAGGCCTTGGAAGTACCCCTCACCCCTGCAGTGCTCTGACTGCTCCAGGGGGCTGCAGGGTGAACCATCCCATTCTGGAAGTCAGGCCATTGGTACCTGGACCTTTTTGGGGGGCAGGAGCTGGTCTGAGTTTTTGCAGTGGTCAGCAGAGCTCTCCCAGGCCCACACGGCAGCTGATTCCACCACCAGAAGTGAGGACCACGATGTACGCAACTATGCCTGCCCCCACCCTTGCTGCTTGGGCTGCAGACAGGATAGCGTTCGCCCTCACTGGGCGCAGGGTGCTATGTGGGCCTGTGACCTGCTGGGTCATCCAAGGGGCCTCAGATCCCTGGACCTGCACATGTTCTCAACCTGTGGCTTTACTTGGGGACACTTGGGTGTCATCCGAGGGACACAGCTGACCCTTCTCCACCTCTGGTGGACCTGGTGCTCCCTGCCTGGAGTTGCCAGCCTTGGCCAGGCAAGGGTCCTGCACATACTTGCTACAACCAGGCCACAAGCAGGCAGTTATGGTCAGTCCAGCTGTTAGTGTCTGGAGATGGAACCCTGCCTGTGGACTGAGATGGAGCTGCTGCTCAGGGAACAGGGCCCAGTGGGCATCCATGTGGATGACCTCTGGGAGTAGGGGTGGCTGGAAAGGTGCTGTGTGCCCTGGGTCTGAGTCCCCTGATTACCACAGAGCCTTCCCTGATGCCCAGGTTGGCTGGGCACCAGGGGACTAGGTCTGTGACTAGTCAGGAGCCATGGGCCAGGTGGGGAATATGTACATGGGAGTGGCCCACCCTTAGCACCCCTGGCCTGCACCTGTCTCTACCTTACCTCAGTGGATGTGGGGAGAGTCATGAGTCACACTCTGAGCAGAAGCTGTGGCTGGTGGGTTGGGAAGGCCTGCCCAGGGCAGGAGAGCTTCATGTTGCCCAGCTAGACCAGAGCCACCAACCCTGCCTGTGGAGTCTCCCTGCCCAGGTGGTGGCTTGTATGTGTACACATGTGTGTGCATATTCATGGTTATGAGCCTGTCAGTTTTTGTGGGTGTGTGCTGTGTATGTGTGTGCATGTTGGAGTGCACGTGCTCTGTGCATCCTCATATGTTTTTGAGTGTGTGAGACCCAGTGTCAGTACTGCCACCAGCCCCCGGGCTTATTTCAGGCCGGTGGAAAGGAAAGAAGCATGTTGTTCCCGCGGGCAGCAGTGGGTCCCGTGTCTTTTCCTGCCCAGCTCACTGTCCTGTGTGGCTTGGGGAAGACCTGGCCACTTGCCTACGCGGAGCAGGAGTAAGGACACTGGGAACGTGTGAAGGGGGGAAAAAGGAGGAGCGGCCCCTACCCTTGCCTGCGTGCCCTGGGGACACTGTGAGTCACTCTGGGAGGAAGGGAGGCTAGGGCCAACCCCGTGGTGAGCCTCGGCCACCCCGCCCTTCTGCCTTAGCCAAAAGGCTAAATTTACTCTTTTAATAAGAACCAGACTTATATCCGATTTTCCTTTTCTTTTATTAGTTCTGGGCTGTTGGTGGTTGGGCCTGTCCCCTGTCATCGGTGTCTCCCAGCCATCTCCGGGATTGCTGGGCAAGTGGCTCAGCACCCAGAGCTTTCCTATTGTGGCGTTAAAGGGGCTTCCTTGGGGCTGGCAGGGACTTCCAGAAGGTTCCTCAGGCCGGCTGAGGGGCTTCCCTGGTGATGTGCTCATTCCAGGCCCATCCTGGTCCCAGGGATGGGCTGAGCCCTCCGCCTACTGCTTTGCATTCTTGGCCTTCCCTCGAGCCCCCACCGCCCCCCAGGCTGTGGTTCTAGAGCCTGACTGTCTCCTCTTTCTTCCTGTGTTCCTCTCTCCCTGGGCCTGTGTCTGCCACTTCCTCTGAGACTAGTAAGGAGCTGCCCATGGGGGCTGGGGTAGCATGAGGGCTCCCTGGGGTCGTGCTGACCGTGGGGTTGGTTTAGAGTAGCCCCAAGTGGAGTTAACAGCCCTGACACCTGAGGCAGCCAGCTCAGATGAGTGGGAACTGCCCCAGATCTGGACAGGTCCTAGGCCTGGAAAAGGATAGCCCTTAAAGGGCATCTGAGGTTGGAGAGGAAGGCTCCATCCTGCTTCTTTCTGCATGGTGGAATAGGGATAAACCTTGCCATTCGGCTGCCCTTCAGGATCCATGACTGCTGAGGTAGACCTTAGAGCTGTGGCCTGGTGCTGACTGAAGTGGGAGATGACTTCTGCCATTGGCAGGCTGGCTGTGTCCCCACTAGGATGGAGGAAGTGTGGGCAGACAGGGCAGGACCTTTCCAGCGTCTGATGGAGATTAAGCACTGGGAAGCGGCTGATTGGAGCGGCTGATTTCCAGGGTAGATGGTGCCATGTTGTGTAGCCCCATAAATCTACCATCAGGGTAGATGGTAGCCTGCCTCCCCTTGTCCCTGGAAATGGAGTCTGGCTGTACTCATAGACATGTGTGCACCCTATAGCTACAGACACACCCCCAGAGACATAGGCACATACGGAGACACACCCCTAAGTGCTCATGGTCAGGTTCCCTTGCTCTGCCCACATCCCCAGCACACACTTCCTCTGTGGGCTTGTGTTAGGGCCCTCATGGATACAGAGTATCGCAGAGTATGGCAGGCTGCACCTGGAAATCAGACCATGTACACTGGGAGAGGCACACTGTCACTGCCCTTGCCCTGGAGCATCTGGTTTCCTAGTGGAGCTGGGTCCTCTTCACTGGACCCTCTGCTTCCTCCTGGGAAGCCAGATGGGCACATGCCACCCCAGTCTCCCAGCCACCTGGACCGAGCCTTTCCCCCTAGACACCCAGAGGATCCTCCTAGGAAACCCAGGGTGGAAGTTCTCTATTCTCTGTGTTTCCTGGAATGAGAGGAATGCAGGCGGGGCAGAGGCATCCTTCCTCCTCCTCTCCCCTGCTCCCTCTGGGGTGTGGCTTTGCGTGGGAGGAGTGCTTTGGCTCCCCCAGCCAGGCCCACTGTCACTCCAGTCTCAGCCTCTTGGTGTCCTCTGTGGAGACCAAGGGACAGCTGCCCCGTACTGGGTGTCCCCAGCATCTGGGCAGCTGGGGGGGGGGGCAGGGCTGGGGGAGGCACAGCTGGAAGCCCATGCTAAGGGAAGAGGGGAGCCTGAGTGGATGTGAGCAGGAGGATGGGAGCTGGCGCGGGTGGTGGTTGCAGCCGCCAGACGCAGAGCCAGGGAGGTCCATGCCAGCAGCCCGTCAGCTGGGCTTCCGGAAGCAGCAGGGCGCTGAGAGCCTGGGAAGGGACTTGCTTCTCAGGAGCTGCCGCCATCTCAGTGAGCCACAGTTGGGTTTTTTTCTGTTTTGTTTTTGTTTTTCTTTTTTAACAACCCATTTCACAGTTTCCAGAAAAGAAAGACATTATCTCCATGGCTCCCTTAACTCAAAACAAACGCTTGTCCCCTGGAGCTCTGTTCCTTCCTATTCTGCACAGCTTAGGCTGCTGTCACAGGGTGGAGCTGGGATGGCCAGGAAGAGAGCCAGCTGGGTGGGCAACGCAACCAGGCCCAGTTTCTGAGGTGCCCGGTCCATGGGGCTCACAGCATGGAGCATGCTCAGCACCTTTGGTCCTCCCTTCCATTGCCGCCTTAGCCATGACAGGTGGGCAAGAGAAAGGCTGAGCCATCGCAGGACTCTGCGGGGTGGACACCACTGGCGAGACAGTGCTCTACGTGGGACTAGGGTGAGGGCTGGTTTCCGTACTCGGAAGTCCTCAGTCCTCAGTAGACCCACTTCATTTGGCACACAGAGCAACATTGATGGTACCCCTATCCTCCTGTGGCTGGCAGCCCAGGTTCAGGTGCCCTGTCGCCCTGAGCAGGTTGTCTGGTCTTGGGGCATGGGGAAAGCCTACCTCTGAGGGACCAGGAGGCTGTGCCTGAGGCGCCAGGCAGCCTGAGGCATGTTAGCCAACCCTCCTGGCCTGCTGGCTTCCTGAGAGGTTTTCTCAGCCAGCCTGGTGCCTATGGCCAGGCCTCCATGGTGTCCAGGGCAGCGCCTAGGTAGCCCTGGAACTAGGACCCAGCTGGGCAATGGGGCAACCAGAGGGAGTAGATATACAGCATGGCCTTGCCTGTCTTGGTGACCAGTGACACTCACAGCTTCCAAATACCTTTCCGGGGAAAATCCCCAGTGTGCTGTGGCTCTCGAGGGGGAATAGGCAGTGGCCCGGATGGGCTTTGCAGTAGGGCTGGGCCACCTTGACCACAGAGGAGCTAGCTGGGCAGCCTTGGAACCAACAGACTCACTTCACTTGGCACATGAAGCAATGTCAGTTGTACCCCATTCCTTCAATGCAGGATCTCGGGTCTCAGGTGCCATGTTGTGTAGCCCCATAAATCTACCATCAGGGTAGGTGCCATCGCAGTCAATGCCAGCAACCTGGCCAGAGTAGGCCCAGGTCAAGTGCCCCTCCAGCATTCTTTGCTTTCTCCTCCAGTGCTGCTAACTGTAGCACCCGGTAGTCAAGGCCTTTGCCAAGAGGAAGGAGCTTCAGCCCAGTTCCTGGCTGGACTTGACCCATGGCTGCAGTGCTGGCTGGGGCCCAGGCTACACCGGGATCCCAGGCAGCCACTGTGCTGACTCTGTCTGGGGTTGACTACTGGTCGGCAGCTGGGGGCTAGGGAGATGGTAGCCAGGTCTGCCCACATCTCTGTTGTCTGGGCCCTGTGCCATTGCTCAGGGTGGTGGGGACAGAAGTGCAGATACTTTGTCCTAGGCTTTCCTAAGCTGCTCAGGAACCAGGTGGGCTGGAGAAGACCTCAAGGAGCCCATACTTCCCAACCCTAGAACTCACTGCCCATTTGGCAGGGCCTGCAGACACTACTGCAGGTGTCCAGCCAGGGCCAAGATGGGGGGCGTCAGAGTGGGGTTCCCCTGCCCGTGCTGGTGGGGGGTACAAGGCACAGTGTGTCCACACAGGTCATCCTAGTGCCTGCTGACTGGGGAGTGAGTCTTGCGGCATTTGCCATCGTGGGCTGGACTTCCGGGAGGAATAGGCAGCAGAGATGTCAGGGTTCTCAGTCCCAAGGTGTCCCTGCTGGAATTGAGAGGAATGTTTGTTTGGTCTTCGGTGACTCTGGAGCAGGGGTGTATGGTGATGACTGCAGGGGAGTGGGATCTTTTGCTTTTTTTCCTGTGCTTTATTGCTTGGACTCACCTTAATGATGATAGCGATATGGTATCCTTGTGTCTGGGACAGAGCTCCAGCCCTGGTTTTCAGCATGAAGGGAAGGAATTAGTGAAGACAACCCCCCACCCCACCCCAGGTAGACAGCCTCACCAGGTACAGGGGGGACACTGGGCCACAGCCAGCTGCTGGGCAAGCTGCCAGGTCAGAGGATAGGGGCCTAGAGGACCATTCGGTCTCATCCCCTTCATTTCTCAAGGCTATCAGAAGCCCATTAAAGAAGCAGCCGAAGGACAGGCAGTGTGGGGGCAGGAAGGCCACAGGCTGGGCGCAGGGCTGAGCCACAGCCAGCAGAGCAACCCGTCATTCTGTTTCCTGCATGGGGAGCCAGGCTTCAGGGGCAGGAGGGCTGCAGTGCTGGGATGGGTTTCCTGGCATGATGGTCTGAGACCCCACTGCAGACTCTGGCTTGGGGTCCATGTTTCGGGGGACCTGGAGGGTTGGTTGGCCAAGGTTTTTCACTGTTCTCACAGAGCTCTTAGGGAATTCTGTGGGGGCCTCAGTTTCCCTGGAACACAGGCTCTGTGGGATGCTGAACTGTGGTTTCTGCTGCCCCTCCTGCCTCCTGTGTGGGAGAGCTCAAGGTGCAGGGTTCCCAGGCTGAGGTCCTGGAGAAAGTTTTTTCCAGACCTGACTTTTACACTCAGTTGCTTCCCACTATCCTGGGGAGGAAGGAGTGGGTGGGGCTTTCCTGGGAGGCTGGGTGAGGGGAGGCCTGAGGGACTTGGGGCCAGCCAGGGTGGGGCAGAAAGCTTGCAGCTGGGGCAGCCACACTCATCTCACAGGCATGCCCCTCCAGAGTCCCCAGAGTGGGGCCAGGGAGGCTAACTTCCCTTCCTAGCCCTGGAGTCAGTCCCCTCCCCTAGCTGGACAAGTCTATGGTCTGGCTGGGGTTCCTGGCAGTCTCAGTCCTGTGGTTTGGGAAGTCCCTGGCTTCCAGGCACCTTTGGCCTACTCTTCCTCTCCCTGCAGAGGTGGACCTTGTAGCCCCTTCCTCTTTGCCCATGCCTGGGAAAGGCTACCTCTGGGTGGCACATGCCCCATCCTGTCATCCCAGGAGGGGAGGGAGCTGCCTTCCAGTGCTCAGCCTGGGCTGGGAGCTGGCAGAACATAGCTTGGTTACCAGGGTCCTGGGGCATCCCCTCTCCCTTGGCTTGGCCACCTCTCTGCTGAGTCACCTCTTGTCTGGGCCCAAGGCCCAGCCAGGCGGGATGAGGCATCACAGATTCACCAGTTTCCTTTCTTCTGGGTGGGAAGTAGCTGCCCTGACTCACCTTAGGCTGCCTGCCACCTCTCAAGACCCGAAGTCCATGCAGCCCCACCAAGCCCTGCCCTGCACCCCATACATCTCAGTCTTGGGATGACCCCAAGAGAGGCTTGTTGCTCAAAGATAGAGATGACAGTGCCCAAGGCCACCTTGCCAGAGTGACGGCCAGCAGTGCTGTTTAGACCACCCAGAGTGACCCCATATGCAGAGTGCTTGCAGGTGTATATGTCATGCAAGTATGAGAGCTGGTTGTCATGGCAACCAGGAAGCCTTATTCATTCTGGCCTTGGCCACTGGACTCAGCAGGAACGGCATGGCTGTGAGTGGAGGATGTGACAGGCTGGGGGACAGAGAGAGTGTTGTGGGCAGGCTTCAGAGGCTGGCCTGGGGCCAGCAGCAGGTCGCCATCTCCTACACTCCTAGGTCACCAGGGGATATGCCAGTGTTGGCTAAGCTAACAAAGCCTCTGGCTGCTGCCACCTGAACCCTGAATAAATGGCTGTCTGCCACTCGATGCCAGCCCCTTTGGCCCTCCCCTGAACAGTGTTGAGGGGACTTCAACAGTTGGTCAATAATGTTCCTTCCTTTTTCTTTCTTTTCCATTTCCATTTTCCATTTGACTCAGTTTCTCCTCTTGCTCACCTGGGATGGGGTTCCCTATTCTGATTAGCCAGTTAATTGTACTGGGGAGGAGCATGAAACTTCAGTTTGGAGAAAGACCCATCCATGCTGCCCAGGCTGGGTCAGAGACCTCGGGACCTTGGGCTGGGGCCCTACTGACTGTCCACCTGTATCTAAGAGCCTTGAGGTAAGCACTGCATCCTAAGAAGGCAGCCCATGAGGTAGCTTGTTCCCCATGGACCCTCAGTGCTTCTCCAAACCGTACCCTGCAGCACCTGGCAGATGGTGCTGATGTCACTGGTGGTGGCAGTCGTAAGAATGTGATAGATGGTGGTGCCAGGTGATGCTGATGCTGACAGGGGTAATGGTAATTGTGGTAGCTGTGCTGGGGTGGTGGGGGTGGGGGTGATGGTGGGGGTGGAGACAATGTGGTCAGTTGTGGTCATAGTGATTTTGGTGATGTTGTGATGTGGTTGCTAGTGGTAACGGGGTTGGTCCTCGTGTCGTTGGTGGTAGTGTGATTGGTGTAGTGCAGGTGGTGGTTGTTGGTAGAGGTGATGTGGTTGGTAGTGATGGTGATGACATATGAGGGACAAATGGGGTATTCCTTTTTTTTTTATGTAGAAGTATCATTCTTGGTTTTATAGTAGCAGGATGGTGTTAGCCCTAAGGCACCTGAGACACACAGAGGCCTGGGACCCCAATGCTATTGTCACATGCCTATGAGAGCAAATTTTCCTCCTGTGGGCCTCTTGGGTAAAGATAAAGGCCCCTGGAGAGCTTAGGGGTGGGGAGGAACCATGGACGGTAGGTGCTCCCCCTAATCTGATCTGTCTTGAATCACACTTGTCCCTGTGTCCACAGCCAGCAGCCGCCTGATGGGAAATTCTCCAGCATCCTCTTTTATGGGCAGCTTCCTCACCAGCAGCCTGGGCTCTGCAGCTTCCACGCACCCTAGCGGCCCCACCTCCTCCCCGTCTGAGCAGGCCTACCGCAACTCTCACCCTGGCACCTCACAGATCTGGTTTTCCCACTCTCATGAAGGTAAGTCAAGGTTCTAGGCTCTGCATGGCACCATGGTGGCCGCACAACTGACCATGGCTAACCTTGCTGAGCATGCTGGGATGGGGGCCACTCCCTGTTGAGGAAGCCCTTTGGGGGAGGTGGTAATTGATTGCAAACAACGAAAGGCCCTTAGTAGTCACTAGTCTTGGCCAGATGTGTGTTCCAGATGGACAGAGAGGGAGGAGGGGGTGGGGCAGGGAGGACTCCAGGGAGCCGAGAAAATGTGGAGCACAGCTGGGCCAGCCGGACTGGGCTGCACCCTCTGACATGGGCTGCACCCACCTCCCCAGACGTGAGGAGGCATGGGCTCCAGATGCGCCAGCTGAGGGGGAGAAGCAGACAGGGGAGAGTTGTCAGCAGGCACAGGCTGCCTCCCTGGTGCCCTGCCTAGGACAGAGCCTCCAGCTCTGCACATAGTCAGTACCTAGCAAATACTCGTCACTCTCGGGTGTCACAGCCGGCAGGAGTCCCTGAGGCCCTGTTGGGACCCCAGAGTGTGGTGCACTCGGCTCCCTGGTACTGCTACTTGAGTGACTGCCCAAGGCCTCGGTGGCCCTGCCCTGATAGCTGCTGGCATCCGAGTGGTGTGGGAAGGGTTAAGCCCCCTGCCGGCTGGCACAAGAGAGGTAATTGCAGTTGGCAGCAGGCACACAGGGCTCTCACTCCTGGCACCGGCACTGCCGTAACTCAATGGCTGCTGTGCTCGCGCCGTGTTTACAGAGCGCTGCGGACCCACACACCGTGCCGCCACCCGCCCATGTTCCAGGCAGGGAGATTAGCGCCCGGCACTTCTGGAAGCCAGAGAAACCTCTCTTTGTGCAACAAGAAAGGGGCTGTTTTCCAAACAGGACAGGTGACGAGTGAGGGACAGTTGTTAAAATAATCTGGGCTTTAGGCACTGCTTGAAGAGCAGCATTCTTCCCGGGTAGAGGAGAGGCCAGCAGGGTACAGAGCTCCACTCGGGCAAAGCAGGGTCCTCGGCCCACTTGCCTGTGCCCCATGCCCTGTGGGCACTGCTGGTCCCTTTCTGTCCTTGTAGCCCTTCACTGGGCATCTGGCCCTCAGGACGTCTGTGGGAAGGAGGAAGGTGCCAAGCAGAGGGAGCAAACAGGCAAGGCACCTCAGCAAAAGTCGGGGTGCTTATCCCTCCTGGTCTGGCATAGGCACGATAGCACACCTGGACAGCTGACCTGGTTTCCTTTCCTTGCACCCAATCATGACCCTGCCTCAGAGCTCAGGAGTGGGATAGCCTACCCCTCTGCATCAGAGGTTCGAATTCCCACTTCCTCTCCATCCCACCCACCAACAAGGAGGACGGTTTGTGGGTAGCACCACCTGCCCTGGAGCCCCATACTGCCCCTGAGGTCTGCTCAGAGCATGGGTTGGGGGTGGCCTCCAGACAGTACCCGCAACGACCTTCTGCCTCTCACTTCCCTTTGTGCCAACGGCTGTCTGGCAGAGCTGCTTACAAGCCCCTGGGCACCCACAGCCCTCAGTCCCACCATGAGGTGCAGCCTCAGTGGTTTCATCTGCCCTGGCCCAGCAGCATCCATGTGGCCCTAGAGGGGGTGGTGTCCAGATGGTGCATCAGAGAGGCTTTGTTTTTTTTTTGTTTTTTTGTCTTTTTCATTTTTTATCAGTACGGGGATCGAACTCACGACCGCCTGCTAGCAAGGCAGGTGCTTATGCCGCTGAGCTAAATCCCCAGCCCTATCAGAGAGGCTTTGACACACACCAGCCTTCCCCATGCCGCAGAGGTCCTGATGGGGGGGGGGCGGCAGAAAGGGGGACTGATACCCCCTGAGGCCTGTTTCTGAGTGGCCACGCCCTGCTCTGGGTACCCTGTTTCTGGTAGCAGGAGCCATTCCCACCATCACTATGCTTACAGCCTGGTCAAGGAGGCTGCCCAGGTGGATGTAGAAGGCAGGATGTGGCTCTTGAACTACCTCCAGTCCTAGAACACAAGATGCCACCCAAGGACCACCAGGGGATGGGCATGGGGATCAGTGGTCCTGAGTTGGGGAGCTCATTCCCAACCTGCCAGGTCCCACCTGAGGGTGTCAGTGAGCTCACACCCATCTGGGTATCATAAGACTACATGGACCTTCCTGACCTGAGCCTCAGTTTCCCCTCAGTGTCCCCACCCACCCCGGTCTTCAGCTAAACTGCCTGCTGGCTCGGGATCTCCTCCTTTCAGGGCTTCCCCTGCTCTGCATCTGCAGCCTCACTCCAGAGAGCCACATGGTGCCGGCTCCCGGTGCCGTCAGAGGCCAGGGCGGGCGGGGCCGCAGCGAGTGGCAGCCTGGCTGGCTGCCCTGGCAGTGTGCCTGGCTGCTAGTTTGACTAGATGCCAGCTGGCTCCCGCATGCCAAGGCCTGTTCCTCGGCCGTGTGTGTTCAGAAGGGCGGGGGACAAGGCGGGCAGGGGGCACGCGACACGGCCAAAGAGTACAGGCTGGGCTGCATGGTGGGCTGCCTATCAGTCAACACCAAGGCCTGGCTTCATCCTTGTCCCAATCTCTTTCACTGCCGTGGGAATACAGAGGCAGGTGCCCAGCGAAGCTAGCTTGCCACTCCTCTCCTGGCCCTGGGGGGCTTCTGTGTTACGGGGAAGAAGACCAGGGTAGGCTGGCAAGCCAGGACCCAGGTGGCAGTAACTCCTGGTATCCCTTACCCTAAGCAGGGCCTCTTAGCCAGAAGAAGAGCCCCCACCCATGCCACCATCTGCAGGGCAGCTGTTAGAATGGGGCCAGGGCTTCCTCTGTCCCTGAACAGCTTGGGGCACCCAGAGCTGTAGAAGCCGCCCCAAAACATCTGGCCTGGGGCAGAGCTTGTTTGTTCCTCCCCAGGCTTCCTGACCAATGGGCTTCACCAGAGGCGGATGGCTGCAGGGCTCAGGGTGGGCCGGGTGGTGGGACTACAAGGGGGGAGCAGGGAGCCACTGTCCGGCCAGCCTGTCGTGGGTGGGTCAGCGTGAGTGTGGGCGCAGCACAGCTGGGCCCATTGTCAGGGAGCCTGGCCCTCTCCCACCCCCAGCTGCCTGGCTGGGACCACCCACCGGGCCATGAAAGAGATTCTATTGGGGGGGCTTGGCTGGGGAGACTGGGGATGCAGCCCTCCCACAACCCACTCTTCATGGTCTCTTGTGCCACCTGGAGGGGGAACCATGGGCTCATGTACCAGTCATGGCTGTCCTTGTGGCTGGCCTCATTGTCAGATCCAGCCCTACCCGGGGACCACTTCTCCATGGGGCCTAGATGAGACCCAGTTGGGGTAGGGCCACCCACAGCATGTACCCATGACCTACTACCAACTGCCCCAGGACCCCCTTTGGCCCCTCCAGGGCCTCAGGGCTTACAAAGGATTCAGGAGCTAAAGCCTGTCTGAGAGGACAGAGATTCCACCCAGTGCCCTCCCGTACCATCCCCTGGAGTTGACATCTCTGGCAACTGCCCCTGCTCCTGCCCCTTTCTGCAGACCCCAAAAGATGCCACCTCCCTTTTACTTGTGATGGAGATGTCCCTTCAGTCTACCCTCAGAGCCCTGGCCTCCTGTCCCTGGTCCCCTTCCTTGCCACTCCCTCACTTCAGGCCCATAGTCTGTGTGGTCCTGGAGCCAGGGGCTTGGCCAGGCTCCGATTGGAGGCCGCTGCAGGCCCAGAAGGCCTGCACATGGCCCTGGCTACCCCCTGGGCAGTGGTGGGTCCAGCTGCTCAGAGACCAGATGTCCAAGGGAAGGCTTCATAGCCCAAGAGCTGCATTTGCCTCTAGTTCACATGCCCAGCTGCCAGGCTCCTAAGCCTCAGTTTCCCCGTTTGTAGACCACATATCAGAACAGCTGTTGGGATCCAGAGGAAACTGGATGAGTCCTACAGACTGGTCCTTGTCTCCTATGTCCTGTGACTACATGTGCTAAGGTAGCCCCTTGGCCATTGACCCCTGGGATGGTGTCCTGAGGTCTGACAGGAGCAGGGCACACTGGTCCCTGGTGGAGGGGTCCTAGGCACAATGGCCTCAGGTGCCCAGGATGTGCTTACAGAGGGGAGGGCAAGGAAGGTGCCATCTATGTCCGTGAAGATTTTAGAGGTCATGCCCAGGATGCTTAGTGCCTCAAGCTCAAAGGATTCTCAGTTGCCTTCTCTCACCTAAAGCCTGCAGCAGGCACCCCGGACCTCCCTGACAACCCGCCTGCTTGCATCAAGCCTAGGGCTGGGGACTGTCCAGGACTTATCAGGATCCTAGCCAGGCTGCCTGCAACTTTTATTCTAGAGGTGCCTGTGGGAGCCTGGCTTCTTTCTCCTGCTCCTCACAGCTCCTCTCAGCACAGCTCCTCTCAGCAGAGCCTGCCAGGCCCTTTACTTGAGGCAGCTGTGGATCAGCTTATGGACACAGCACCCTGTGAGCCCATGGAGGATATGCTGGGCACACCTGGAGGGATCTCAGGTTCCCCTGCCACCACCAAAACCCAGAATGTGGTGTCAATCCTGGGAGCTGCTGCATTTGGAAGGCTCAGCCTGAACACCTAGGCATCAGACCGCCCAGGTAGAGGGGATTAGGGACAGAAACAGGTATCTCCCACTCATGGGGAGGGAGCTATGGCCAGGTTACTCCCTTCAGGCACTAGAGCAAGGGGCAGCAAGTGTCTTCCAAACACACTGCCATGGCCCTGACTATACCCAGAACTGATGTCACCAGTCAGGTGTGTTCCAGGTGAACAGAGCCTCAGACCTCTCCTCAGCCCAGAGCCCCTGGTGTTGGCTATGATCTGGGAAGCAGCCAGCACTGAGTTAGTGTTGAGTGTTGGCACATGTAACAGATGCCATGTGACAGGGAGAAGGTGCCAGGTCACACAAAAAGCAGAGACCAGTGTCTCCTAGTTCTCAGTGGAGAGCTGAGAGGCAGTCATCACGCCCACTTGTTCCTCTTGGATCGGCAGTAGTGTCCACCCCACCTTCCCAGTCCTCCCTCTGACCTCTTCAGTCCCCTACCACTTCACTGGGCCAAGGACTGGGCTCAGGTCTTCAGGCACCTGTGGCAGTGGACAGGCACAAAGGACAGCTTGTCCTCAGATCTCTACAGCCTGCTCCAAGCCCTGTCCCTAAGTCAGGTGGGAGCTTCAGGAAGTTTGTCACCTGCCCATTGGGATGATCATAATGGGCCTAAGCACAAGGTAGGTGAGGCTGTGGGGCAGGGAGATGCCCCAGTCTGAGGAGGGAGTATAGCCACCACCTGACCCAGCCCTGGATCTGGCCCCAACCCTAACTGTAACCCTGTCCGGAGAGTCTTCTCCCCACTGTCCTGGGGTACCCCCCAGCATTCACCACCCCTAGTCTCTTTAGCAGTAGCTTCTTCAGGGACCGCATACCTCCCCAGCATAGCCACACCAGCCCTAGCTTCCTGTTCTGGTCACACAGCAGCTGCTCTGATGCATAAAAATCGTATTTTATATTCTTCTTCAGTTCAGAGAGTACAGTCTTGTTGGGAAAAAGAAAGGGCCTTTCTGTGGCTTTCTGTGGTGGAAAGACCTCCTCCCCACTCCCGAGCCCCCCCATCCTTACTTTTCCCTCTTCCTGCCCTGTACCCCTTCCTCCACCCCTCATTCCCCATCTGGGGCCTCAGAGGCAAGGGCCTGCAGCAGGCTAGAGACAGAGCTGGCCAGGCCTTTGGGCTGGGCCCCAGGAGATTTCTGCCCCCGCTCCCTGGCCTGGATACCACCCATACAGGCTCAGAAGTAGAGGGACACCAAGGCCATCCACCCTCACACTGCCCCAGAGCGCAGTGGGCAGGAAGGAGCCCGCTCTTCAGCTGGCTGAGCGCCTGCTGGCCCCGAGGGTGAGGGAGGCCCCGACCTCTGGGGTGGGGTGGGGGGGTCCGCACAGTTTAGCTTGGGAAACGGCGTCTGGGAAGGAGGAATTTACAGACTTCTGTTTACAAAACCGAGGCCCGTAAAATATTTAACAGCAGCCAATTACAGGAGGACAGCTGTGGCGGGTTAGCCAGCTCCCCAGGCCTTGCGGTGCTCCTCGGCTTTTGTCAAGTCTTCCAGGAGCTGAGTTGAATCTGGTCAACATCTGCTGCCGATGTGCCCTGCACACCAGGCCAGTTGGCCCAGTGCTCCAGCCCCAGTCTGTGCCTCAGCAGGAGGGCTCTGCCAGGGGCACGCCGGGCGCAGCACTCTCCCCACGGCAGGCCTTCTGCAGGGCGGGGTTGCTCTTGGCAAGCAGGTTCTCAAGCCACAGAACTTCTCAGAGCCTTTATGGGCACAGCCTCTTCCAGAGTCAGGCTGGCTTCACAAGGGACAGAGTCCATAGAGTCACTTGGACCCATTGAGCCAGAGAAGGTTCTGTGGTGTCACCAGGAGTGGTGGCCTGCAACTGCCAGGGGTCCCACTGGGATTGGGGTACCATGGATGTTATGGCCTTATTTCTGAGGTCCTGGGGTGTCCCCTCCTGCCACCTGTGAGCTCTTGTCTTGAGTTCTTGTCCTTCACCTTCAAGCTAGGTACTAGGAAGTGACCCTCAGCCGCCGGACTCAGCCTACAGAGGGCTGCCTCCACCCCTGATGCTCAGGATGGGCTGGCACTAGGCTGCGGCCCCTGCGCCCACAGGGGCATGGCATTGAGTTGGACCATCGAGGTGGCCAGCCCCAGACTGAGACTTGGAAATACACCGGGCCTGGGGATCTGTCCTGTCATTCTGGATCCGCCTCTTTAGTGCTTGACTTCCACAAAGGTGTTTCTCAGATGGTATTCCGTAGAGTGCTCAGCCCTCAAAGGAGTCCTACTAAGCAGCATAGGGTTCCCATGAGAAAAGAATTTGGGGAAACAGTAAGGTGGAGCAGAATTGTGTGCTGTGAGACCTGTGATCTCATTGTGACACTCGAGAGGAGTCCTGGTACCTGGCTCCCCATCATGCAGCTCAGGACGCCCTTCTATGAAGTGACAGCTATGACAGGTGCCCAGAGAGGCTCTTGGGAGGCCTCTATGCCTGGCCTGCTGCCCCCAGGGCCCTCTTCCTTCCCTTTCCTGTCCTCTAAGGGTACCCTGGGGACCCCTGCTCTTTGTCACCATCCAGAATAGCCTGAGAAAGCTCTCAGGACAGTAGCAGAGTCCCCAAGAACGGCTTCCCAGGGACCTAATGTGTCTGTTTTAGAGTGAGGCAGAGAGCCAGTACTGCTGGTTCTGTTTTATTCTGTAGAATGAGGGGCAGCTAGCAGTGTGTCACCAGCTGGGTGATCCAGGTACCCCACCTCAAAGACAGAAGGGCAGAGGGCTGCTTCTTGGCCCCTGTTATTCACAGCAGGCATGAGTCTGGCAGTGCCTGTAGCCTAGGTCTCTGCCCCATCAGACCTTGTGAAGAAGGAACAGCTCCAAGAAGCCACATTGCTGGTGACTGATGGAGACTTGGCATCAGGATTGGTACTCACTCCTTTCTGTCCTGCAAGCTAGGACTTCACTGGGGGATCCCAGCTGACCTGGGATCTCAGGCCACCAGAGTGGAACGAGCTCAAGGCCAGTGCTAGCATCCCTGCATGAGAGTGTGCCCTTAGAACCTGGGCTGCCTGAGAGGAATGAACACTTTGAGCTCAGGGAAGGGCCCTCCTGACATGACCCAAAAGCCACTAGGTAAAAGTTAGAGGCTCTGGACTTATGCAAGAGCTTCTGGGGACAGTGCTGCCACTGCAGGGTCCCAGCTTTGCTGCAGATGTCAGGCCACAAAGAGGCCAGGCCTGTGGCCTAGGTGGAGAGTTCTATCAGTGACACCTGTGGCTTCCAGCTACAGGGAACCTGCAGCACCCTAGAGGCCTGGCTCTGTGTGGCTCACTCCAGCTAGCTCCCCAGCACACAGCTGGCCTGGGACTGTGGGCCCTCTTGGAGGACGATGGTGCAGACAGGAGTCGGGGTCTGTCCGTGGTTGTCAGCACTCCGGGACGTCTATCTACTGTGCCCCCTCCTCTTAAGACACCTCTCTAAGCTCCTTTGTGTCCTGCCTGGAAGCACGAAGCACGTGAGAACCACCAAGAGCTGGGAAGGAATCAGAAGCGCCCTCCTCCAGCCTCTCCTCTCCCAGTCCATCAGCAATTCAATTTGTGCCGCACCAGAGGGATGGTATTAGTCGAGTCAGAGTTAATATGATGTATTGATGGGTCGATTTCCCACTGGCGGGCTGCACGCCGGGCTCCGCGGGACGTCGCTCCTGGATTGCCTGCAAGCTTCTTGTCTCCCTGGAATCAAGGTGGTTTGGAGCAGGGGACCAGGACCTTGTGCCACAGCCAGTCCTTTTACTTCTCTAGCTCCTGCATACCCCAGATTTTCGGGGAGTCTGGCATCTACTTTCTTACCCGTGAGCCACTTGGATCACCATGGAAACAGTAATGTTCTCTGCGGGCAGCATCGTTTCTATGGAACCCAAAAAGGCAAGTACCACACGAGGCCTGGAGTCGGTGCAGGGGTTGGCAGGGTGGGGAGCCTCTGGGGAACAGGTGAAAGCAGCCAGCCTGGCTGGGCCTTGCCCTCTAGGTGTTGAGCCCAGCTGCACCCCTCAAACAGCCTTGCTGTCTCTCCAGTTCTTGGGATTGGTGTCTGTGTCCCCTCTCTGTCCTTGCCTCTTAACCCCAGGGACCCGGAAGGAGTGTGCCTCGAGAGGTCTGGCAGGGCCATGGGGAGCAGAGCAGTGTCCCATGGACAGATTTTTCCTGGAGTTGGGAGGACACGTTATTTGCATTTTAGAAAGAAGCCCTCCCTAGGGGTTGCCCAGAGGCTGGGGTGACATTGAATTAGTGACCATGTTTCAGGTGACCAGCGATGGGACTTGAACCCAGATATTATGTCCTGTGCATCAAATGGGGCTTGAAGCCAAATTCCGCAGGGCACTCCTGTAATCCCAGCTGTGTGGGAGACCAAGACAGGAAGGTGAAAGTTTGAGCCAAGCCTGGGTTCAAACCCAATACTGAAGAAAAAAAATCCTTTAAATTACTTTTTAGAAAATTACAGTGTAAGCCAGGCACAGTAGCACACCCCTGTAATCCCAGCATTCAGGAGGCTGAGGCAGGAGGATTAGTGTGAGTTAAAAGCCAGGCTAGGCTATGTCGTGAATTCAAGGTCAGCCTGAGCTACATGGTGAGACCCTGTCTCAAACAAACACAGTGCCGCTTGAGTGAGGGGAGGCAGAAGATCCCAGATGACCAATTCTGTCTGGGCAGTGGGAGGGGCCACTAAGGTGTGGTTCTGAGGGGAGGGGTGAATTTAGCTAACATGAGGGGTGGGGGGCATCGACAGGAGGTACAGGCTTGATGGGGCCTACAGGTCCCTCTGCAGAGGGACGCAGTATGCGGCAGCAGGTGAGGACCAGTCTTTACACAGCAGTCCTGGAGCCCCACTGGGTTAAGAGGGCAGGGTTACCAGGCAGACAGCAGGATTTGTAGGTGAACAGGACACCCAGAGGAGCAAACGAGCGTGTCGCTAGTCCTGCTGTCACAAGCCAGGGACTTTGGTGTGTCCAGCATCTCTGGCCCTTTGGGCCCAAAGAGCCCCTGAGCTATTAGCAGATGACTGGTCTCTTTGGGACCGCCAGCTGTGATTGGTGCAGGTCCTTGTGGGACTGGCCGGGGAGCTCCTGGGCCTACGCAGGGGGTTTCCTGCTGATCCTGAAACAAACCAGATGCTCCCACCAACCCAGCCTGCTGCTCAGGTTCTGCTGCCTGGGGAACAACCCGCTGGGCCCCCGGGGACCACCCCCCAATTTCCCAGTCAGCCTGGCAGGCCTGTACAGCTGTTTTGACAGCATTTGTCAGGGGTGGGCAGGTGGCTGGTCCTAGCCCCAGAAACCCAACCCCTGAACAGGGCCTGGGACTCCCTCCAGGCAGTGGGCCGGCTGGTGTCCTGGCGGCGCTGGCTGGGCCTCTCAGCTTTCACAATATTGTAGTGGAGCCTCATCCAAGAACATTATTTGGTTTTGGAAGTTGAGCTAATTAGATTTCTCCTGGGCTACCCCTTTTCACCCCCCTCCCCTCCTTTCTAATTAGCAGGAAATTGACAAGGAATTTACATGACTGAGGACAGTTTTACAAGTTCCAAACATTTCTTTTGTTTCCCCATTGTCTGCTCTCTCCAGGCCTCACCCTGCTGCCTGCCCACCCAGCAGGGTGAGAGGAGGAGCAGACCCCAGGGTCCCTGAAAAGTACTGACCTGGCCCCAGAGTGGCCTTGGTGTCCACCAGGACTGATCTAGAAATTGGGGAGCAGACCACTCTGAGGGCAGGAAGGTTCACCCAAGTAGAACCCTGGCTAGCAGGCAGTCCTTACCCACGGGTGCCTTCTGACCCCAGGTGCCAGGCTGGGCAGTTCCACTGCTGCCCTCCTAGAAACTCCTCTGGTTTTATCCTTTTGTAACCCACACCTATCCCACCAGCCTGAGTTCCACAGTTAAGGCGTTTCGGGACTGGGCCTCCCCAGGGTGTCCCAGGTACGGAACCACACCCAGCCTATCCTTAGACCCCCCAAGGCCTTGCTCCTCCCCTGGGAGCTGCTGCAGAACCTTGGTGATCTAGGGCACAACCCCTGAGCACTTGGCAGTGGCCTCAGAGCTGGTGCAGCTGGGCAGCACCCTCCCTTTGCAGTTCTTGTGCGTGTGTGCACGCGTATTCCTAAAGACCCCTCGAAGCTGAGCTCCCTCAGAGGAAGCCAGGAAGGTGCCTGCTGTGCCGCATCAGCCTCCCTCCAAAAATCTTCAAGACCCTTGGGCCCCTAAGACCTAGTGAGGAAAGCCTTTGTGAAGTTCTGAGGTTGTAGCTTGGGGCGGGGGTAGTGTTTGATGGGGAGGAAGCTTCAATTTAGAGAGTAGAATTCTGGAGGAGATGATAGTGATGATCTCACTGTGAATGTGGCTCAGTGCCATTAAACTGTGTGTGTGTGTGTGTGTGTGTGTGTGTGTGTGTGTGTATATAGTTAGTTAGTTTGTTTGTTTTTGTTTCGATGCAGGGTCTCCCTGTATGGTTTAGGCTGCCCTTGAACTTACTTTGTAACCCAGGCTGGCCTCGAACTTGTGGCAACCCTCCTGTTGTGGTTACAGGCATGTGCCACCACATCCAGCTATGTATTTTTATATTTTACGCAATATTTAAAAAATGAAACAAAACCAGGTATGTCAATACATGTCTACAATGCTAGCACTGGGGAGGCTGAGACAAGAGGACCTCAAGTTTGAGAGCTGCCTGGGCTACAGTAGTGAGTTCAAAGCTAGCCTAGACTACAGAGTAAGGTCCTGTCCCTGCCTTACCCTCCCCCGAAAAAAAAACCAGGCACAGGGTTGGGATTTAGCTCAGCGGCATAAGCACCTGCCTTGCAAGACTGTGGTCCTGATTTCTATCCCGGTACTGATAAAAAAGAAAAAGACCAAAAAAAAAAAAAAAAAAACAGGAACAAGCACATTCCCTGAACAGTAGATACCAGCTAAGGGGTTAGGGGAGCACCTGGGGCCAGTATTCTGGGGGAGTCTGAGCCCCCACCCCGGGCTTCTTGTTGACCTTGGCTCTTTGGGCCCACAGATAACTTCTACCTGCGCAACCTGCCTCCCCAGCCCACACTCCTGCCTGCCAATCACAACTTCCCTGGTGTGGCCCGGGGTGCACCTGCTCACCCCACTGGCGCCTGCAGCCGGGACCGGGGTGAGACCGTCCCCTCTCACAAAGGTCCCAAGGAGTTTGATGGCTTCCTCATGGGCAAAGAAATGGGCAAAGAGAAGGCCAGCAAGGTGACAGAGGGCCGAGAGCGAGCGGCAGCAGAGGAAGACGGCAGCAAGGAGCGGCACAAGCTGGTAACCGTGCCAGCCGACGGGCCCTGCAAAGAGGGCGGCCCAGGGCCCCGGGGCTCCTGCGAGGGCCGCCCCAGACACCCCACCTCTTGCCTCCTCAACGCCAAGGTGCTCAATGGTGACCTGGGCAAGGCTCCGCTGGCCAGCTGCACAGGGGGTGTGCTGGGCCGGCCCGGCGCCAGTGTGGCAGCTTCCGGACGCTGTGCCAGGGAGCCAGCAGGCCACGCAGAGCCTGGGGCAGCCTTCAGCGAGTGCCTGGAGCGGCGGCAGATGCTACACCATGCGGTGTCCTATACGGTGCCCTCCGGCTTGCCCACTGGCCCTCCCCCGCCCCTCAGCACAGCCTCTGGGTCCTTCCCCTGTCTGCAGCTGCACACGGGCCCAGATGGGCTCTGCCCACTGCAAGACAAGGTCCCTCGAGACCTCAAGGCCAGCAGGCCCACCTTCGTGCCTTCTGTGGGACACCTGGCTGACAAGAGCCGGCCCTTCCAGGCAGCCGAGGCCTGTGCTATGGCAGGGGAGGGCAAGGACCGACACCAAGATGGGGCCATGGGCCCTGATCATGTCGCGCCCTATGGAGTCTCCTATGCCCACATGAAGGCCGAGGGCAAGGTTGAGCGACGGCCTGGGGGCTTTGAGGCAGCCCTCAACTCCCGACTAAAGGGGCTGGAGTATCTCAACACTGGCCCCGAGGCCCCCTTTCCTGGACTCCCCAAAGCCAGTCTGGACAAAGGTGGCTACTTTGAGTTGCCTGCCCCTTCGCAGGACTGTGCTCGGCCCCCCCACCAGGACTCACTCGGTGGGAAGGCCACCCAGGCCTGCTGCACTTTAGACAAAGCTGTCAGCAAGGAGGCTCCCCCCAGTGCCCCTGGGGCCCAGAAAGTGGCTCGGATCAGGCATCAGCAGCACTTGGTGCCTCCCGAAGTCGAACCAGGAGGCAGTGGAGCTGAGGCCAAGCGCAAGTCCCTGGAGCTGGCATCTTTGGGATATGGTGGACCCCACCTGCCACCCTGGAGCATCCAGGCAGGGCAGGCCACCACCATGGCCATCAGCGAGGAGCGCAAAGGCAGTGCCTACCTGGACCCCTTTGGCAGTGGCCTGCAGCAGGCAGCTCTCTTGCCTCAGGAGCTGCCCACCCCGCCCGACGAGGTCTCAGCCATGAAGAACCTGCTTAAATACAGCAACCAAGCCCTCGTGGTGGGCCAGAAGGCTCCCTTCGTGGGCCTGGGTAGCCTCAAAGCCAGCTGTGTCCAACAGGAAGCAAAGTTCCCAGCCTCCAAGGGCCCAGGCTCGGTGGAGAGACCGGACTGTGCCCGCAGCCGGGAGCACGACACCCCACATGGAGATGGGGAGGTGCGGCAACCCCCTGTGGGCATTGCAGTGGCCTTGGCCCGGCAGAAAGACACAGTGAGCCGGCCTGAGATGACCTATAGCACCAACAATGGGCGGCAGGGCCGGGCAGCGCCTGCCTTTAAAGGTATGGCCCCTCATGGGCAGAAGCCACACAGTGATTCCAAGGTACTCAAGGCTAGCTTTGTCCTACCCCAAGAGCTTGATCAACTCTCCATACCTACCCCATAAGATCCCCTGAGGCCCCAGGGTGGGGAACCCTCCTTCCATGCATAGATCCCAGCTCAGGGGAGGGTCATGTTGGCTGTAGAACTCACACAATCTGTCCTCTTGGCCCTGCATAGCTGGTGGGGGACCACGTACCACACACACGCTGGACCTGGAGAGCGAGGAGGAGAGGATGCGGCTGTGTGATGACCGCCTGGGACTGGCCAGCCGTGAGCTGCTACTACAGTAAGAGCCAAGCCTTGGCCCTGATAGGGATGGGGTCCACGCCAAGCTAAAGGGAGAAAAGAAGGATGACTGGCTGGGACACTGAGCTCTGTGGCCTTTTCATTTTCAGGAGGCCATGCTCATACCCCCACTGCCACAAGGCCACTTCTGGGGTCTGCTGTGAGCCCCATCCTTTATTTCCCCCAGATTGATGGCCGTGAGCTGCAGGCAGCAGGGCAGGGTCATCCAGGTAGCAGAACTAACTCCAGTGATCTTTCAGGGACAACAAAGACCTCGTGGAATTTGCCAGGATCCATCCATCAAGCAACTGCCCTGGAGACCTGGCCCCCCACCTCATGATGCAGGGTGGCCAGCTGGGCGGGGACCCAGCCCCTCACCCTCATCCTGCTCACCCACCCTGGCTGCCCCGCACCCGCAGCCCCTCCTTGTGGATGGGGGGACATTCCTATGGTTAGTCTTCAAGGGCAAATGGAGTAGACAAGGGTCCCCAGGAGTTGGAGGCCTAAATGACCTGAGGTCAGCAGGCCTGATGCTGTGCCTCTGCTCCCCAGGCCTGGGGCACCCTGCCCTGCACCAGAATCTGCCCCCTGGCTTCCCTGCTTCTGTGCCCGGCTCCATGCCCTCTGTGTTCCCGCTCCCCCAGGATGCCCCTGCACAGCTTGTGATCTTGCCCTCGGAGCCCACGCCTCACACAGCCACCCATGCACTTGGTAAGGGCCTCCCAGGCCTGTTTGCTCACACAGGGGACTCTGGGCAGTGGCTCTGAGTAGTAGGCAGTCTCCTGAGTTGGGAGGGCAGAGTAGGAGGCTGGCTGGGGCCTCAGGGAACGGGAGGTGGGCCAGCTAGGCACAGGGCTGGGGAGGACTGAGGGAGGAGAGTGTAGGGAAAAGGTGCATGCAGTCCGGTTAAGCCCTCTGTTCCTAGCTGGGCTGGCTGATGGACCCCTGGCCTTGCCTGCAGCTGATGTCATGGACCAGGCCTCGCTGTGGTCCCCCATGTACGGGGGCCGGGCACCAACATCCCACATGCAGCACCCTGGCCAGCTCCCTGTGTACTCACGCTCCCAGCTGCTGAGGCAGCAAGAGCTGTATGCCCTGCAGCAGCAGCAGCAGCAGCAGCAGCAGCAGCAACAGCAGCAGCAGCAGCAGCAACAACAGCAGCAGCGGGCTGCCCAGGCCCTGGAGATGCACCAGGCCACTCAGTTTCAGGTACCCTAGCCACACTCAGCTGGGGCCAGGGCAGTCCTGTCCCTCCAGGCTCCAGCCCAGCTGGCGCCAGGAGAGCCCGGCATGCTTCTGCAGGCTGTGGGACTTACAGGGGCAGAGGGCCTACCGAGCTGAGCTTCTCCCCCACCCCACAGCGAAAGTCAGAGGACAGCCACCTGGAACTGGAGGAGCCTACCCAGGAAAAGGCCCCGAAGTCCACTCACAAGCCAGTTGCCTTAACCCCCATGGCCAAGGGCGCCCCCTCGCCTGTCGCTACGGGCACGGTCAAGCTCTCTCCCTGCTGTCTCTCACCTGCCCTGAAGCCTTCAGCCAGCTGTCCCACACCACCACCTCATCCCAGTGCCCCCTGCACTTTATCCATCTGCCCCACCAGCAGCCCCGGGCCCAGCTCTAAGGTGCCCAGAGCTGAAGACGAGAGTGGGAAGTGCCGGCGGGCCGGAGCTGACCTCACTGCATTGGAACCAGGTGAGAGTGGGCAGCTACTGCTCACATCTCACCCCGCTGGAGTTTCCAAGAAGCTGGGCTGATCATGGGAGGAGCTGCTCTCACCTGCTAGGGCACAGGGCCTTTTCTCCCCCTCTTCTGTCTTCAGTAGTCTGGGTGATCACAGAGAAGCAGTATCCCAGCTACAGGTGGACACAGGCTGGGCCATGTTGGCCAGCACTGGGGACCTGGGAATGATGAAGTACAGTCTGTCTGGGATGGTGCCAAGGCCCCAAGGGTACCAGACACAAGATCTTTTCTTGGCTGTAAGCCTGGGGCTCAGCAGAGTTAGGGAAGGGGTATCTGGGGCAGAGTGTGGTGCTGTGTCCCCAAGAAGGGGAGGGGTGACCTATGGGGGTCTTGGACATGCCTCCCACTAGCTCCCTGCAGCCCACACGATCCTTGCTGAATCCAAGCTTACTCTGGAAACCCATGGGGCGAACATAAACCTGCCCCAGTTCCACAGTAAAGAGACTGAGCCAAAAGAGGTTAAATGTGTGTGCGAGTGAGTGCGTGTGTGTGAGTTTATTATTATTATTGCAGTTAATGAGGCATAATACCTCCGACACACCGCTGGCTCGTCCTGGTTCAGGGGAAACCCTGATTCAGGCATCATGTTTTGAAATCCCCCGTTTTGGTTAGCCACACCATATCACCCTTGAGGGGGCCCCTGAGGCTCCCAGCCACCTGGGACAGGCTCTGACCCTAGCCTCCTGCTGTCCCCTTAGTCTAGTATGTCCTCTGTCCCTGCCTCTCTGTTCTGCAGCCCAGAGAGTGGCCAGAGGCCCTCCCAGGTATGAGTTGGGGGACTTGAAAGGCCGCCCCGCTGATACAGTAGGGCCTCCTTTCCTCCCACTGCTCTCAGCCTGCTCCTGATGGTCCTCTCCTTTGCAGACCTGCCCCCTGGACACCTGCGCCCTGTGGTGGGCATGGGCTTCTCCCTGCCCTCAGATGTGCACTCATCTGACCTCTCGGGCCACAAAACTATGCAAACCGCTGTCACAGGAGGCCAGCCTGAGCCTGCAAGGACGTTCCTGCCTGGGGAGCCGCCACCTCATAGCCCCGGGAGCCTGGAGGGGCATGAGCTGCTCTCAGGGGGCAGGGAGGCCACACCAGACCTTGCTGCCACACCCCACCCTGCCAAGCAGGGACCTCAGGGGAAGGCAGAGGACCCCAGCCCACTTGAGGGGCTACAAGAACTGCAATTTGGGGCCCTCCTCGAGGGAGGGACCCCTAGGGCCACTGGCCAGGCTCATTCTACTCAGGGAGGGGCACAAGAGGAAAGGACCAGGGAGGAGGGAACACTGGGGTCACCACTGGGGATCTCCCCGCAAGCCCCGGAGCAGCAACCAGGGAGCCCAGTTGCCCTGAATGAGGATGAGAAAGGTGTCCAGCAGGCCCCAGAGGAGGCCCCACTGCAGGAGAAGCCCCAGCTGGAAGAGGAAAACATGAGGGACACAGAGGAAGACTGGAGGGCTCCCAGCAGCGACCACCCACTCAGGGCACTGCCAGGCCTGGATGCCTTGGTGGCCGCCACAATGAACCTTGGGGACCTGCCTAGCATCAACATGCCGGATCCTCATCCCTTGGTGGCCCCTGGGCCCCCAAGCGTGGCCCCTCTGCCCCACAGCTCAGGGATTCACGGGATTGCTCTGCTCAGTGAACTGGCTGACCTGGAGATCCAGCGGCAGAGAAGTGAGCTGGTCACTCAAGGTAAGCCCCGGGGATGCCTCCCAGGACCCTGGAGCTGACCCTCCAGGCGGCTCAATATCTGCCAGCCTGACAAAGAGTCTTTGGCATTGCTCACTTGTCTCTGAAACTGGGGGGGGGGGTGTCTCAAGGAGAATATCCTCTGCATGGGCTCGCGTCCATTGAAGTAAGACACAAGTCCCCTGTGAGAGGATCCATCCTAGCCCCAGCCATGCCGAGTGTCCTGGGTAGGCCCTCAAAGTGAGGACTGCCTCTCCATGGTGATTTCAGAGGCGGGACCTCGAGGCACCCTGTGTGTGCTCTCGCCACTTCACATGGCTGGTGTCAAGGTGTGAGGAAAGGGTAGGGAGCTCCAGTTTCCTCCTCCTAGGGAGCCTGGGCATGGGCTTGGTGGGGTCAGCTCTGGAAACATCTGCCTCATCTTCTAGCCCCCAAGGAGGTGACCCCAGGCCTTAGGCTTGGAGACAATGAGATGGACCCACCTGCCAGACTGTAGCTACCCACAGCCTGTTCCTACATGGTCAGCCTCACACAGTGGGGAGCCACACAGTTCCCTGGTCCACTAGCAACCCTTTCTTCCTGATAGAGTAGTCGCTACCTTTCCTCTGGAACCCACACAAAAACTCTGGGGCCAGGAGCATCCCCAGCTGGGCATTGCGCCACTGGGTATCTAAAAGAAAGAATCTAATGGGATCCTCAAGGCCCAGCTACTTGTTTTCGTGGGGCATAAATCGCCCTGTGTCTTTGGTACTGTGTGGAGACAAAAGTGCAGGTTCTGGTAAAGTTTGTTTCCCTGAAGGCCTCTAACGCTCCTCTGCTAGGGGCTTCAGGGCTGCCTCAGGCTGTCCCTGGCAGGACATAGGTAAGCATCACTGGGTGAAGTCCACTGTGCCAAAAGAGCCTTCCCTGAGCCTTCCCAGCAGCCTCCAGAGTCCCCTGCCTTCGGGAGGGGCTATACAGACTAGGGACTATACTTCAGGAGTTGGCTCCCAGCCAGACCCCGGGGCAGGCCTTGCTTGAACCTGCTGGCAACGTGTCAGGGTGAGGTAGCAGTGTCCAGTGACCCTATGTGGAAGTCCCAGGGCTATGTAAGGGTGCTGAGTGGTGCCAGGCACATCACGTGCACTTATCAGTGTGCCTGGACCCGATCCTACACACTTAATGAATCCATGTAGATCACATAGGGGGATGGGCAGCTGTGTGAGTTAGCGATGGGGCCAAAACTGTCAAACTAGCTGGGGTATTCATAGGAGAAGCAGTAAGCTTCGCCCTCCCCTGAAGACCATCCCCACTTTGTGACCACTTTGGCTGAAACGGATGGATCAGCTTCATTCTGTACTAAATCAGGATTCACAGGATGGGCAGAGGGAGAAGAATGCTGATTCGCAGGCTTGCGGGGTGTAGAACCCAGACCTAGGGACAGGACCCTACCCTAAGTCTGTTAGAGCATCTGCAAGGCCAGGTGGGGACCACTCACCTGTGCTCTCGAGGAACTCTGGCAGATCACAGTGAACCCAAAGCCAAGAGTCCTGAGGCTGGTAGCTGAAGGGTGGAAAATAGACCTGCCCTGCTGCTAGCAGGTGAGAGACCCCCCTAGCTCTCCTTCTCACCCTTCCTCAAAGGACCTTTGGAGCAGGACCTGTCTGTAGATTGGGACTTTCCCATAATGGGTGGCTCTAGGCATGCCCCAGAACTTGTGCCCAGAGGTTTGAGCATCCAGTAGCTACCCCTCGGGCACTCATGCCTTGGTGCTCAGAGCTGTCTGCATCCCCTCCCCTAGCACCTCTCTCACTGTGGGACCATGGGGCTTGGCTGCAACTCCCCATTGTCCACGTTCCAGAGGAACGTTCCACAGGGCCCCTGCAGGACAAGGACAAGATCTCCCAGGTACCCGCCAGCCCTTGCGAGGGTGTGACCTGCCCATCCCCACTGCATCCCACTGTGCTGCTCTCTCTGCCTACTCCTCACAGCTCAGGAGAGCTTGCTGGGTGGAAAAGCAAGGCAGAACAGCAGGCTGCCCCTTTGTCTGTGCTCACAGCCATGGTCACATGCATTCTGAGTTTTTCCAGCTCACTGTAGTCCCTTACTGTCCTGTCTGCTGGTGACCCAGTTGCCCTGAGTTGGCTGTGGAGCCCTGGGCAACCCCTGTGTATGCTTGAGATGCCCCTGTCAGTCGTGGAGCCCTGCTGCCAGATGTCACATCATCCCCACACCCCGCAATCTGGAGTCAGACACGTCTCCAGGAGCCCCACTTCTCAGTGGAACATGGTGTTAGGAGTCACGATCAAGGCATTAGGGTGTTCACTGTCACTAGGGCACTGCTGTCCCAGGCCACCTCTCTAACCCCACAGGGCTCTTCCTGTTTGTGCTCATCCCTTCCTGGGTGTTCTCCTGGGGTCAGCTCAGATGAACCCAGTCCTCCATCTGCAGGACTCCTGGGGCTCCAGCCCGGAGTCTCTGCTCCCCAGCCTGTCCCCCGGTTCCATACGCACCTTCTGCCAGCTCAGCCTCTGACCCTGCCCCTCTTTAACACAGCTGCCTGTCACTGTAAGGCCTTTTGTGGCATCCTGTTCTGCTCTCCAACTCGGAGGCCCCGGAGATCCTTCCCCACCTCCTTCCTTCCATGTGGTCAGCAGTGCCTTCTGCTGCCCACCCCGCAGCCAGAGCGTGCTGGAATCATCTGTCCAGGTGTCCTGTGGCAAGGGCAGGAACAGCCCAGCATCACCTTAGGCTTGGAGGGAGTACAGGGTAGTGGAGGTGACAAAGAAGCTGGAGGAACTGGGTGTCCCTGCATGCAGACAGATGAGTGGGGAAGGCTACATACCCTTCTCCTATCCTCAAGTTGGCATCCTGTAGAACCAAGCAGCTTCCAAGAGCCTGGGGCTGTGCTGGGCGGCAGCTGCCATTAAGAGCCTCCATGTGGGGCTTCGTGTGACCCATGCTAACTCTTTTGTCCCCCACAGCAGAAGACGAGGATGTGCTAGCCTTCAACCTGCAGCACCTAGCCACACTAGCCACAGCCTGGTCCCTCGTAGAGGCTGCCAGCCTAGACAGCATAGTGGCTTTGGCCCAGCCTCCAGTTGCCAACCCTCAAGGCCACACCAGGCTTACACCCCGCATGCAGATCCTACAGCGCAAGGACACCTGGACCCCCAAGGCCAAGCCCGTGAGTGGCTCCTTTCCCACATAACCCAGCATCATGACAGCACGGCAACCTTGCACACCCAGGCTGCCACCCTGCCCTGGCTCTCAGACCCCGTCACCCATCCCCACACAGGTATGCCCCCTGAAGGCTGCCATCGACCGGCTAGACACCCAGGAGGTGGAGATGCGTATGCAGCTAGCAGAACTACAGCGGCGCTACAAGGAGAAGCAGCGGGAGCTAGCCCGGCTACAGCGCAGACATGACCATGAGTATGTTGGGGGGTGGTTGCGCCAGGACTGGCACCCCTGCTCCCCACGGCCACACCTGGGAGGCAGAGGTCATGCCAGAATGTCTGAGAAGCTGGGACCAAGGAGCCTTTCAGAAGCAGGGACTCAGGAGACCTGGGAAGGAAACTTTGCCCAGCAGGGAAACTGAGCAGAGAGCAGTGCAGGAAATCGGGGGTAGAACCAGTCACCCAGAAGAGGCCAGGGCAGGAAGACACTGGTCCACAGGTGTTGGGGCAAAAAGTCAGTACCCAGAAAGGGCCTGGTGAGGACTAGGGAGGACTGGAGACCAGGGCTGATGTTGGGGGCTGCTCCAGAAGCAAACCAGGCTGCTGTGGGCAGGCGGGGCACAGGGGATGGGCAGTGGCTCAGTTTTGGGAATGCTCATCTGTAGGCAGACTTGTAGGCAGTGCCCTCTGGTAAGACATGTTGGGGTGATAAGGGGAGCCATGAGACTCTGACAGCACCCCGTGGGGCCCCCAGGAGAGAAGAAAGCTCCCGCAGCAGCCCAGCACGGCGGGGGCCTGGCCGGCCAAGGAAGCGCAAACACTCCAGCTCACTGCCTACCCTGCGGCCTGGGGCCCAGCTCGCCAGGAGCGATGGCAAGAAAGCCAAGTGAGTCCTGCATGCAGGGGATGGGGGTGGACTCCAGGCCCCGGAAGCAGAGTCCCAGCTCCTCTTCTGGCTTTCCTTGCTCTCTGAGCACTACCAAGTGCAGACACCTCACTGCCTGTGTCCAGCCATCAGCATTGGTGCCATCCTCCAGAAAGCCACCAGGCTCAGCCATGCCAGCTCTTGAGACAGGCTGTGGCCAAGGCCATGGCGTGGCCTCCATTCACGCCACCGACCTGGGCCCTGGAGTGTGAGGTGGTGTTGCGTAAAAGGCTCTTCATCTGCACTGTATGAAGTCGTTGGTCACGCTGCGCTGCTGTGCACGGCTGCCGCGCAATGTTATTATCCATTACCCGCCCGGTGCGGTCGTTGGCGCACTCCCGGGCTGGGTATAATTGTCCTTCTCGGCTACAAATTGCCTCTCCCGGCAGGCCCATTTGCATAAATCCTCCGAGCTCCTCCAAACACGATTGGCGCGCGTGCACACTGCATCAATCCTGATGATTTGGTAATAATAGTTAAATCGGCACTAAATGGTTCCTTCAATTAAGACAGAGGCAAAAAATTAATCTCAGGGCTTTATGTCACAAAACATTAGCAAATGCAGAGAAGGTTACGGCAAGGGGAGGGGGGGAGTTTGTATGGGACGCAGGAGGGAATTCACCATATGACTGTGGGGCCTCAATGGGAGCTGTCCTTCCACCCTGCCCAGGTGTCACCTAAAGTGGGGGCTCCAGGGATAGCCCTTTGAGAACCTGCCAGCAGTGTAAGGGCTGCTGGGCAGAACAGGGCCACTGGAGGCCAGTCTTGCCAGGGGCTTTTGGGGATACCCTAAACAGAGTTGGGGTGGGCCTTGGAGTGCTCCCAGGCTGCCCTGGAGTCTGTAGCCCCAAACTCCACCCTGGAGGCTTAAACGTTGCCGCCACTTTCCTGTGACCGGAAAAGCCAGGCCCTAGCTAGTAGGCAGCAGCTTCAGGTTAGGGAAGGAAAACAAGTCTAGGGCCCTCCTTTCCCAAAGATAGGGTCTGACACCTCCCTCCATCTCCAGTTCCCGTCCCCACTCTCCATGCTACGGGGCCCCTTGGCAGCAGCTGGCAGTCAAGCCAAGGGGATAGGCCTTTTGCTTTGCAGGAAGTGGGAGGGTCAGGTAGGATGGCAGGAAGCTGAGGACCAGGAACCCCCTGAGCTGCAGAGCTTCCTGCCTGGCCTCCTAGTCAGAGGCCCAGCCTTCTTGCTGGACAGGAAGGTGAAAAGGGGCATCTGGCCACATAAGACCAAGCCCAGGCAGGCTCCCAACGCCCATTCGAAACTTGTTCTTATGAGCAGCCAGGGCCCCCCTATGCTGGGAGTGAGGAGATGACAGATGAGAGGCTAGGCCTTCAGCCCCGTCCAGCCAAGGGCAGGTAGACAGAGCCCCAGGCTTGGTTTCCCTGTGAGAAATGGTGGGATGGAAATGGAATCGTGCACTGGGTATCAGAGGTGCTGGAGGGTGACGAGTCTGGTGGTGCAGAGACCTGACTTGGGGAGAATTGAGGCAGGATGCCTTTTGCTGTGTCTTCAGCAGCTGCTGGGCCTGTGCTGACCCCTGACCAGCTCTAAGCCTGGAGGAGACAGCACACCTGTGGGTCTTGGGGTCACTGAGGCTCAGATTTAGCAGCTCCCAGGACTTAACCTAAGAAGTAGGGGGTGGGGTGCAGGTTCCCTCCACTAGACCCCTGTTGAGGGCCTGAGTCTGGCAGTGGGGGGTTCCTAGGAAAAGGGAATCTGTATTTCTTTATTATTCCCACCCCACCCCTATTGGAAGTGGACCCTGGCCCTGGGAAGCTGTCCATCCCCTATCCTCTGTTGCTGACTGTGGTAAGATCTAGTCTTGTATACTTACCAAGAGCCAGGCCTGGACCTGATCCCCACCCCAGCCTCATTGAGAGGCCTTGGTGCTCCTGTCCCATTTATCAGGTGAAGATAAGGCTGGGGCCACAATTTCAGTCACATGGGGGCCTGATAGCTATAGGGCCCTTTACTCTGAACACTAGGCTGCATCTTGGGGGCCCCTGCCATTCCACGGCTTCTCTCACTGGATACCACCCAAAGGGTGTCCCTCAGCAGATAGGAAGGACAAAATGTGGGGAAATAGTGGCCACTTCCAGCAAGGCCTAGCAGGAGACAAGCAGCTGGGCCCGGGACCACTGAGGGCTGGTGGTTGGACAGAGAGGACTGCCCAGACTTCTGGAGGGGCAGAGCCTATTCTGAATGGTGCAGGACTATCGTGGCCACACAGGGAGATCAGAGGGAACAAGGCTCGGACACCCAGGCTGCCAGGCCTGTGCTCACCCTGTGCCCATGGCCACATCTCCTCCAGGGCAGTGCGGGCCAGTTTGAGTCTGCTATGCGCGGAGCTTCAAGACAGTGATGAACCCATGAAGAAGCGGAACAAACTGGAAAAGACCGTCTACATGGGCCTGCAGACGGCCTCTGCGGTGAGCCCACACCCAACTTGCCCCAGGGGGCTGTCAGGACAGGGAGCAGGTGGCACTCAGCCCTGGGCCATCACCTGGCTGGGGTGCCCAGTCGAGCCAAGGCTCTTCGAGCTTTAGGCACCACAATAGTGGAGGCAGAGTCTTGATGGGATAGAGTGAGGGAAAGTCACTGCTCTTACACCCCCTGACGTTCCTCCCACCTCGGCTTGTGCCTTCAGAGGGACTGGGCAAGCAGCAAGCAAGGAGGGTGGCCCTGGCTCTTCTCGGGATGGCTCTAAACACCGTGTCCAGGGTGCTTCCAGCCCATCCTTCTCTCCATGATCAGGAGCTGGGACCTGGCCAGAAGGCTTGTCTCTCTCAGATCAGGAACAAATGGCCTATACCCATGACACCATGGTGCCCTGGTCTCTGGCCTCCCTTTGCCCTGAGGTCACCTGCATGGATGGGTAGAGTGGAGACCTGGAGTAGGTGACAATGATAAGCCTTAGCCCCAGTGGCAGCCTGCAACCCCAGGCCAGATGGTAGCCTTTGAGGGGAGGGCTTTACCTTGCACTTGCCAGACAGGTGCTTGTGCTGCTGAGCTGTATCCCCAGCCCACGGCTGTCATCTTCTGAGCCCTAAGTTGGCAGAGGGCGCCCAAGGACCTGTGGCTTAGGCAGAGCCCGTAGTGCAGCCTCTGCCTTCCCGTCCACAGAAGGTGCGGTGTAAGAAAAGCAGCAGCCATGGTGGTGAGCTGGCATCCTCGGTGGCCGACAGAGTGGCCCAGCTGAAGCCGAAGGTCAAGAGCAAGGGGCTGCCTGCTGGCCTTGGCCCCTTCCCACGGAAGGAGGTCACCCCAGGTGGCCGCATCCGGAAGAAGCTGTCCCGAACCAAGAACACCAAGGTGTCTAGGGCAGTCCGGCACCCACAGCCTGATGGCAATGGTGGCAGGGAGATGCCCAAGTTCCCGGCCCAGCCAGCAGTAACTGTGGCAGGTGAGGCAGACAAGTTGTCGGTATAAGCAGCTGCAGCTGGGACCTCCAGGCCATGGTCACCTGATGACAGGGGGATGGGTACACAGGGTGCAAGCCATTGCTAGAGCCAGTTTAGGGTTATAGAACAAAGGAGACCCCTCACTGAGACAGATGAGGAAGCCCCTGTCCCTGGGGCAGCTCAATGTTCCCTGAGTGGGGAGGGAAGAGGACCCTAAATGCATCCTGGAAAGCAGCAAGAGTTAAAAATAGCCCTCTGACTGCCTCTACTGCCTCCTGCAGCATCCGCCAGGCTGACCAGACGGTTATCTCTGCCTGCAGCAGACGTGTCCAGAAACAGGAGCCTAGAAAAATAGACTTCCTCCCTGGGGTCAGAGGCCTGAGAAGGAACAAAGTCAGGCTGCTGGTGGGTGGCGGGAGGCAGGGGCCATCTGAACCAGTGGATGGCAGGAGAGGCAGGGACTGCCCTGGGGAGAGGCCCAGCCCTGCAAAGTGGTACTGTACAAAGGAAAGTCCTATCTTCGCTGCACTACCCCCCAGTACCAGCCCCAGGCACATCAGCAGTGGGCTAACCTATAGTCCCTCAAACTGACCTGTACAGTAGGCGCTAGCCCACCCCAGCATGGCCATGCTCAATGCCAAACCCTAGTGTTCTCTGCTACCCCCAGGCAGTGGCTCCGACAGCGAGGACTGCCAGGCTCTCCTGGGGACAGAGGCAGCCCCCAAAGATTCTGGGCTGGTGCTGCACCCCAGGGCCAGCATGGCTGTGCTGGGGCCCTCACCCTCCTCCGTGGTCAAGATGGAAGCCAACCAGAAAGCCAAGAAGAAGAAGGAGCGGCAGGGCTTGCTAGGTAAGCAGGAGGCCAGGCAGGGTGGAGCAGAGGGCTCGAACAGTGAGGACCCTGCAATAGCCTCCCTTCTCCCCCAGGGGCCTGCCACCTGTCCAGCCCTGAGAGCGAAGTCAAAATCAAGAGGCGGGCAGTGAAGGCTAAGGTGGGCGCCAAGCTAGAGCGGGCCCCCGGGCGGCGACCCCCAGGTACGCCAGGCAAGAAGAAAACTAAGGGCAAGGCCAAAGGCAACCTGACAGCAGAGGCGGGGGCTGCCTCCAGCAGGGCCCCACTCTTCAGTCCCGGCCGGGCCTTCACCTGCCACGAAGAAGGCAAAAAACTGGCCAGCGAGCGCCTCAAGAGGGCCACACGCAAGAGCACCATGCTGCAGCCAGTACTTCGGGTGAGGCCAGCAGGGCAGTAGGCACCGAGGTGGCCATGGGCATCCCAGGGGCCAGGCCCAGTGGGGAGGGCATGAGCTGGGAAGAGCTTCCCCTTCCCCCTCACCCAGCTTCCGTGAGCTTAGGCTCCAGTCTGAGTCACACAGCCCAGGGGGGCCACAGGCAAGGAGGCCACTGCCCCACCCACCCCTGTTCCTCTGCATCCGCCCCGTGCACAGCGGAAGAACGGAGCCCTGTCCATCACGCTGTCAGCCCGAAATGCCAAGGCCATCCTGGGGAAGGGCAGGAAGCTAGGCAAGGTGAAAAGCAAGACCGTCAGCAAGCAGGTAGCTGCACCCCCAGCCCAGGAGCCCAGCCTCGGCAGCCCTGTCGCCTTGCCCCTGCCGCCTGCTGACTCCTATGACCCGCCCAGGGCCAAGGCCGGGCTGTGAGCCGGCTGCTGGAGAGCTTTGCCTCAGAGGGCGACTTCACGTTCGACCATGACAGCAGCTTCTCCGAGGAGGAGGAGGAGGAGGAGGAAGAAGAGGGCGAGGAGGAAGAGACATCCAGGGGTTTGCTGAGTGCGGAGCAGAGTGCTGCTCTGGGTGAGCTGCAGAGGTGGGCGTGTAGGTGCGGGGTGGGAGCAGGCGCCCGCAGAGCCACTCATCACCCCCTCCCTGCAGCACACTCCTGCACCATCCACAAAGAGGACCTGCAGGACGGGCTGCCTGTGCTCATTCCCAAGGAGGACAGCCTGCTGTATGCGGGCAGCGTCAGGACCCTGCAGCCCCCGGACATGTATGTGAGGCCCCTGCATGGGCTGAGGGTTGGGGCTGCACCCAGTGGGCAGCAAGTCTCCACAGGCCCCTCACTGTCCTGCTGCCTGTAGTTACAGCATTGTCATTGAGGGCGAGAGAGGCAACCGGCCCCGAATCTACTCTCTGGAGCAGCTCCTACAGGAGGCGGTGAGTGCATAGCCCAGGATGGAGGAGGATTTGCCCGGGGCCCTGACCCCACCTACTTACAGTCCTTCCCTGCTGCAGGTTCTCGATGTCCGGCCACAGTCTAGCCGGTACCTCCCACCTGGCACCCGGGTCTGTGCCTACTGGAGCCAAAAGTCTCGTTGTCTGTACCCTGGTAACGTGGTCCGAGGTAAGTATATCCAGCCTAGGACTCAGCCAGGCTCCCTCTGAGACCCTTGAGTGCCTGTGAGACCCTTGTCTCGGCCTAGCTTGCCCTGCAGTGTGGAGTGTGGCAGACCCAGGCCAGGCAGTAGAATCAGCTCCCCAGTGGCCCAGAAGAGTAAGGCTGGTGGACTGGGGAGACTCTCGTGTCCGTTTAGACAGATGAGGTTGACAAAGGACTCAGAGTTCCAGTGCCAGAGTCACTGAGTCCATCACAGGTTCACAGCTGTCCCAACAAAACTGACTGCACAGCAGGATGGCTAGGCCTCCAGGACAGGGACAGGTGCTAGCCACTCTCAAGGCTGACAAGCAGATGCAAGCCCGGATAGGGTCAGGGAACAGGTGCGGCCCAGCTCAGCACCCAGCCGTCCTCCTGCGTCTCCATCTTGGCACCTGCCCTGCAGGGCCAGCCGCATGCTCAGGCCATGCCGTCCACAGGGGCCTCCAGCGACGAGGAAGAGGACCTGGACTCTGTGCTGGTGGAGTTCGACGACGGGGACACAGGCCACATAGCCGTCTCTAACATCAGACTGCTGCCCCCGGACTTCAAGATCCAGTGTGAGCACCCGAGAGCATGCAGGGTGCAGGGTGGAGTCCCCCTCTTGCCTGTCAGTTCCTGTAACCCCTCACCCCCCCCCCCCGGTTTCCACCAGCTCTGGACAAGCACCTAAAGGGAGGGATGAAGGGTGAAGGTCACCTCGTGGACCTGCACTGAGCCCCTCTGTTCGCTGTACAGGTACAGAACCCTCGCCAGCCCTGCTGGTGTCCAGCAGCTGCCGGAAAACCAAGAAGGCATCCAGTGAGGCCCTGCCACCCAGCGAGCCCCCGACCCCCAGCCTGTCCCCTAAAGCGCAAGATGGTCCTGAAGCATTAAAGACTTCTGGGAAGAAACCTGTCAGCAAAGAGAAAGCTGGTAGGTATAGGACGGCCAAGACCCCGGGGTCATGGGAGGGGAACCAGGTGGAGTGGGTGGAGGTGGTCTCACCCACCCTGCCAGTCCCACTGACTCTTTCTGGCATTCCCCCCAGGCAAAGCTGACCTCCTCACCTCAGGTGCCAAATCCACCTCGGGGGCCTCAGACCAGCTCCTAGGCCGCCGGGGAAGCCCCCTGCTCAGCTGGTCAGCAGTGGCACAGACCAAACGGAAGGCCGTGGCTGCCACGGCCATGGGCAGCAAAGGGCCAGGGGTGCTGCAGAACCTCTTCCAGCTCAATGGCAGCGCCAGGAGGCTGCGGGCCCGTGAGGCCCTCTTCCCTGTGCACAGCGTGGCTGCACCCGTGTTTGGCAACGGTTTCCGGGCAGATTCTTTCAGCAGCCTGGCCAGGTCCTGTGCACCCTTTGTTGGTGGGACCAGCTCGGGCCTGCCTGGGGGTACTCACAAGCTGCTACGGGCCAGGAAGGCTGACCGAGTGGAGGCTGAGAAGGCCGGGCGGCGCAGGGTGGGCAGCGAGTTCCTGGTCAAGCTGGACCACGAAGGAGTGACCTCCCCCAAGAACAAGAGCTGCAAGGGGCTGCTCGTGGGCGACAAAGACTTCAGCCCCAAGCTGGGTCGGCCCCTGCCTAGCCCCAGCTATGCACACCCAGCCCTTGTGGGCAAGGACAAGAAGGGGCGGGCACCTGTCCACCCGATGCCCATGGGGCTGGCACTGCGCAAGTATACCAACCAGGCTGAGTACCCGCTGCCCTGCGACAGTGACTGCCCTAGCTCCTATTCAGATGAGGACGAGGATGGGCCAGAGCTGGCTGCTGGCATGCCCTCCCGCTTCCTTACCCGCCTGTCTATGTCCTCCTCCTCCTCGGGTTCATCCACCTCCTCCTCCTCGGGCTCCGTGTCCACCTCCAGCCTCTGCTCCTCAGACAACGAGGACTCCTCTGACAGCTCAGATGATGAGGACCCAGCCCTGCTGCTGCAGACCTGTCTCACCCACCCCGTGCCTGCCCTCCTGGCCCAGCCAGAGACCCTGCGCTCCAAAGGGGGCAGCCCCCACACCCACACCCAGCGCTGCTTCCTGTCCAGGGCTGCAGTGGCCAGTGCGGGTGCAGGCCCAAGTGCTGGCAAGTCCAAGCTCAAGTGCAAGGAGTCCCTGAGCTTCTCCAAAGCCAAAGAGCTTTCCCGGAGGCAGCGGCTGCCGTCCGTGGAGAACCGGCCAAAGATCTCAGCTTTCCTGCCTGCCCGGCAGCTGTGGAAGTGGTCGGGGAACCCCACACAGGTAGGTGGACTGCACCCCCACCCAGGGCCAGGTTCTAGGGAGGCCTGAGGAGCCAGCAGCTCCTCTGCCCCAGGACAGGTTGGCTGTCACCCTTTAGCCCGTTCTGGGCCCCTGTCCTCTCATTGTCCTGTTGACTTGTAAGTGAGCACATTAGACACCGGGAAAAACAAAAGCCTGCCTGTGACCTGACAAGGCAAATGATGACATTTGCCATCTGAGGTCATCTGAGTCGCTCGGATGCCCCATGCTGTGCTTTCAATGTGGCTGGGTCCCTTACCAGTGCTGCCTGAGGACCCCTGCAGCTGGCCTCAGGAGGCTGAGAAAGGTTCCCTGGCAAACACGACTACTTCTCTTGACCCCTGCTCTGTCCCTTGTGTAGACCTGGGTTGTTGGTGGGGTTTTTGTCCTGGTAAAGGACACTGAAGTGTCTCTACCACCTTTGAGTCTCTCGTACAGCTCTCACATGTACGGCAAATCCAGGCGTAGCCTGTGTTGTCTAGGATGGTGTGTTTTGTTTGTTTTGTTTTTGAGACAGGGTCTCCCTATGCAGTTCAGACTGGCCTTGAACTCACTGTGTAGCCCAGGCTGGCCTCAAACTCACAGCAGCCTTCCTGCCTCAGCCTCCCGAGTGCTGGGATTACAGGCGTGTACCACCACTCCAGCGCTGGCTGGGGGTTTTGCTGGGTTCCCCCAGCAGTTGTGTGTCTGTCCCCCATCCTTGCAGCGTCCTTCTGCACACACATACTCATACACACCCAGAAGATACCCTGCCTGTCCTCCAAGACGCCTGGTGCTCACCCTTCTCTGCCCCGTGTCTCCCCTGCAGAGGCGGGGCATGAAGGGCAAGGCCAGGAAGCTGTTCTACAAGGCCATCGTCCGGGGCAAGGAGACGCTGCGTGTTGGGGACTGCGCAGTCTTCCTATCAGCTGGGCGGCCCAACCTGCCCTACATCGGCCGCATCGAGAGCATGTGGGAGTCCTGGGGCAGCAACATGGTGGTGAAGGTCAAGTGGTTCTATCACCCCGAGGAGACCAAGCTGGGGAAGCGGCAGAGTGACGGGAAGGTGAGGGACAGGGCAAGGTCAGCAGGGGACTAGCTCCTCTGCATGCCCTCGGAGGCCAGCATCCACAGCCATTGCCACCAGCCATGGCAGGAAGGGTGGTCAGCAGGAGCACTGCCCTGCCCAGCCAGTACAGAGGCCCTGCGGCAGACCATCTCCATACCCAAGGAGCTGTGCCTCTGAGGCCATCCCATCCCCCCAGGGGCTGTTACCTGAGGCAGCACTTGGCTCTAAGCCAGCCAAGTTCACACCTGGGTTCAGAGCAGCCTCCCTACCATGGGCTCCCTGCTCCAGATGTGGAAAGTACCCCCATCTGCAGGATGTCCTTCCCAGAGGAGAAGCCAGGTTTCCTCCAAAGAAATGAGTCTTCTACCTCAACATCCATCAAGGTCCCTAGTGCAGACTTCTGTGTTTTTCATCAGAGCCTGTTCAAGTCCCCCCTCTCGAGCCCATGTATCTTCTGGTTGTTGGGGGCACAGGCCAAGGCTCATCCCAACTCATATGCCACCCCACAGAATGCACTGTACCAGTCCTGCCACGAGGACGAGAATGACGTGCAGACCATCTCCCACAAGTGCCAGGTCGTGGGCCGTGAGCAGTATGAGCAGATGACCCGAGGCCGCAAGCACCAGGACCGGCAGGACCTCTACTATCTGGCGGGCACCTATGACCCCACCACTGGGCGCCTGGTAACGGCCGAGGGCGTGCCCGTGCTGTGCTGAGCCGCCACCCACCTCCTGCCCTCCCAGGGCCTGCGTGTGGAGGTTAGGCCAAGCCGGGGTAAGTCTGAGAAAACATGCAACCCCTCCAAGGCGAGATCAGGCTCTCCACAACTTTTAAAGAGCGCTCCTTGGTGCGGCCCAGTCTGGTCCTGTCCTGTCCTGTCAGCCGTGGAGGCCCAGCTGCTGTTTTCCCACGTCGCAGTTCTCAAGAGATTAGAACCCAAGCCATATTTCCCTAGTACCTCTGACCGTCTCCCACCAGGGAAAGCAGAAATCAGGTGTGTTGTCTATTTATTTCTCTATGTAAATATTGTATTTCCGTGGGGAAGTTTTATGGAAAAAAGTGGAAAGAATTTTCCCCACCCCCATAACGAGGGTGTGTATACGTTTTCACGTGCGCGTGTGTGCGCATGCACGGCGGTTTTGTTCTGGAGTTATCTTTGGAAATGCACTGTTCTCCTCAGCCTAGCTGAGTCCCCACGGGGCATCTGTGATGACAGAGGCAGCTCAGGCATTCGGGGGCCAAAGGCCACGGGATGACAGGATGGACCCTTGTCCCGGCGGCCTCTAGGGACCCCCTATAAAGTGAAAGTCTCACTCGAGTTTCCTTCTTTTCCATCCATCTAGCGTTGGGCTTGGGGGTAGTGATAAAAGTCCCCGAGGAGAAGGGGTTCTGGACAACAAGATGGAAATCAGTACCACCCTGTCCCCAAACTCTGGGAAGGACTGCAGCCATGTGTATCTTACCTCTACTTAAGACAAAAACGAACAAATATTTTATTTATCAGTAAGAAAAAGTGATGCTTTGAATTTATTTCCTAAGTATTCCAGTTATTTCTGATTTGTTTCCTCAGCTAGTTTGTGCCAGGCAGAGCAGTTGAGCCCCTAACCCCTATGCCCTGTGTCCCCTTCCCTTGCCAGAGCGCAGCAGGGCTGCCATGATGGGGTGGCTGGACCAGGCCCCTCCAGGCTGGGCTGGAGCGCAATCCCTGTTCCCTCTACACCACTGGACAATGGCTGTGAGACTTCCCCTCCACTCCCAATACCTTCCCCCAGTGCCTTGCTGTCCCTGGTGACCTCGCTGGCAGCTCTAGAGGCCCTGGGAAGGGAGAGGAGCCCTCAGACCCTCTTGCCCACCCATCCCCGGAGTTTGCTGGGCCTTTTTTGCAGCCATTCGGCAGGGTAAATGAGCTGGCCTCCAACCAGAGCCCAGAAGAGGCTGGCACCCTCCCGTCCACCACAGACAGAGCACGCCAGACCCACCACCCAGAGACCCTATACCCCACCCAGGAGCCCCGTGCCCTCCAGGAGCTGCAGGAAAGCCTCCTGGGTACCTCACACCCACCAGAGCCCTCTGGCCCCCCTTCTTTGTTCTTGCCAGTCAAGAATACGTCTCATTCCTGGGGCCTTATTTCCCCCAAGTGCCGCCCAGCCTCCCATGGGCTGCTGTTGGTGGCTCCACTGGATACCCAAGGGCAGGGAAGGGGCCATGCTGTGATGAGGGCCCCCTAAACCCACCCCAAATCCACCCCGTATCCCACTCGAGTGCAATATTTCATTCCTATCGGTCACCTGGGGAGAGGGCCCTCGGGTGCTCCTCACAGCTTAGGAGCCAGGAAGTCGTCAAAGGGAGGCAGAGGCCTGGACGTTAGGCCTGGGGGCTCGAGCTGGTCAAGCCCAAGCACAGGGACAAGAAGCCTCTTTCCTTGGCCACCTCTTCACCCTCAGCCAGGCTTTCCCCTGGGCAATGTTCTTTTCTCTTTTCCCTTCCTTGCCACTGCGTGAGGGCGGTGCGACCCCTCCCCTTCTCTGTGGTTAAACGTTGCAGGAGCACGATCCTTGTAAATGTGTAAACTAAGAAGATGGTTGGATTTTTTTTTTCAATGTAAACACTAAAAACAAAACACAAAGGTTTTATGAACAGCAAACTCTATGTAAAGGCATTTTAGTATTAAATTTTTTATTGATAACTTGCTTAAGAATAAATATATGAACTATTGTACAGGTTTTTGGTGGTCCAGTTGGTGACACTTGCCTAGTGTTCTGTGTGCAGGCCCCATCGTCATCCCCAGTGGACTGAAGCCTAGGGCCCAGGGGACATGCCCAGGTCTGGCTTGGGCCTCCTTTCCTGTTCCTGGTGGCAGCTCTGGTGCAGGGCACTGGTGCTGGACTGGGAAAGAACACACAAGCAGAAAAGGAGGCGGTGGCCTTTCACTTGGAAATCCCTGACTGGGCCCCTCTTGAGCCTGGACACTCCCAGCTGTGAGCCAGGCTGAACCTGTGACAGGTCAGTCACTATGGCCTCTGAACCCATCCACATAGCCAGAAAAGGTTCCTCCAGAAGCGGAGCAAGGCGGGACCAAAGCACAGAGGCGCTTCGCCTGGGAGCAAACTGGTAACCCCAGCCAGGGCTCCGGGGCCAAGGCAAGAGGATCATAGGTTCAAGTCCAGCTGGGCAACTTAGCAAGACCTTGTCTCAGAACAGAAAAGGGGGCCTAAAGATGCAGCAGTGCAAAGGCCATGGGTTCAATCCCCAGCCCACACTGAGCACCACGGATGCCACAAATGAATGCCACCACACAGCAATACCCGCCTGGGAAGGTTAGGAACCGATTCTTTCAGCAAACATTTTCTCGGCTGACAGTCGTGCAGGAGATAATAAACAAACGACAGTCCTGATTGTTAAATGACAGATTGCCTAGCCCCAAGAGGCACCCAGGGTCAGAGTATATCCTGGGAAAGGGTACAGTGCACCTCCTAGTTGGAGAGAGCCCGCCCACGAGGCTGTAGGCTGCGGAGGGGTTACTCCTTGCCGTCTGTCTCTGGCCCATCCTGTGTATAAGGGTTGCAGGACCATGCACACCCATGCATGCACACATGCATCCACCTGCATGCACACGTGTACACTGCTACAGCCCACCAGCCCTTGCTATGCAAATTCCCATCCCAACTCCCATGTTCCTCCAGGGCAAAGAACAGTCAGACCCCACCCCTGGAGATAGAAGGCCCAAGTACCAGCAGCCTAGCCAGGACCCGTGATGTGCAATCCAGAGACACAAGGAGTCCCCACAAACCTCTTCCCACTCCAAGGCCCTCCTAGTGGGCATCAAGATGGGACCACTGGGCACTAGGCCTGTGGCTGCCTTAAGCCAAGGTACCCATCACGTCCAGGGGCCCTGACCAGAACAGTACGGTCTGTGTCCTCAGATCCTCTGAGACTGACCTGACATCTCCTTTTGGTAGCCTCTGCTGACTGCCCCTCAGCTGCAGAAAGGAGGATTGGGTGAGCAGGCTGAGACCTGGGCTCCAGCTACACATCCAGTGCAAGGTACCTATGGCCTGGGCTTCTGGCACTGGGGTCCCCCAGAGCAGGAAGAGGGCTGGCATAGCACCATAATGCTGTGTGCCTGGGAAACCCAGCTTCAGGAGCTGTGGCACCAGCTGGGCAGAATCCAGTCTGGCACAGAGCCAGGGTAGAAAGGAGGGCCTGGTTGCTGCCTGGGCACCTGAGCCCTAAGCAAGGAATTCAACACAGCCCCCTCCTCCTGCCCAGGTCACACAGGGAGGTCAATGGCAAGGCAGCTCTGGGGCAGGAGACTGATAGGGCCAGGGTGGGACAGTGACGGCACAGGAAGGTGGGCAACAGGCCTGGTGGCGCCAACACTGGGGCCCCAAAACTACCAGGAAAAGTAAAGCAGACAAAACTGACTGTCCCTGGGGTAGTCAGGCAGGCTTTCTGGAAGAGGTGCTCCATGGGCTCAGTCTTGGAGAAGCCCAAGGCAGAAGAGTAGAGGATAGACAAGGACCTTGGTGGTGGCCAAGAGGAGAGCGAGAAGGTGGCAGAACTTGGTGGCGAGGCAGAATGGGGCCAACACCACCGCTGTGTCAGGGAATACTTGGAGGCTGAAACAGAGCGTCCAGAGTCAGGGTGACTCTGTTGCCAAGGGTCAGGAATAGAAGGCTGGACTGACCCAGGTCCCGCAGAAATGCTAGCTCCAAGAGAATGCTAGGGGTGGAGGGTAGGGGCACAGCCCTGAGACCTGTAGACAGGAGTGGGGCTGCTGGCTAAAATGTCACCAATGAACCCAGGTGCCATGGACAAGTGTGTGAGCCCCTGAAACAGCTATCACCAGGACAGACCCCTGGGATATAGCAGGGGTACAGGGGAACCCCCATGCATGCTCTACCTTCTTTGAGTTCTGCAGGGAATAGGATGAAACCCAGCCCACCTTAACCCTGTGCCTGGCTTCCTCTTCCCAGGACAGGACAGCCCCAGCCTTTCAGAACCTGCTGCCGCAAGGAACTGGTCCCTGCCAAGGGCAGGGTGTGGAGGGAAGTACAGCCACAGTGCCCTGGGGGTTAAACATGCAGGACTAAGCTTTGATCAAGACAAACGAGCCATCATGTGAAACGCTGGAGCAAGACAGATGATGGCACTGGGTGAACAAGATCAATAGAAGTGATGTTGTATCAGGTAGAAATGACAACCTGGGGGGCTGGGGATTTAGCTCAGCGGCATAAGCACCTGCCTTGCAAGCAGGCGGTCGTGAGTTCGATTCCTGGTACCGGTAAAAAAAAAAAAAAAAAAAAGACTAAAAAAAAAAGAAATGACAACCTGGCTGATCACAATTTGTTTCTAATACCACAAACCAATTGGGGACAAGGAGGCTTTAATTGCTGGTCCTCAGCCCCAGCGAGGTGGCCAGGGTTGGCTGGGCCAGGCCTTGCAGTGCTCAGCTGTCCAGGCTTGCCCTGAGGAAAGGCCAAGGGCTCAGGCCTCTGAATGGTCTCCTGAGTTGGACAGGGCAAGGGAGGGAGGAAGCTGCTGGCACCACTGGGTGCTAAGAAATGGACAGAAGTGGCATTCCCAGAGATGGCTCAGAACAATACCGCATCCCGCATGCCTTAGGGACCCACCCAGCTCAGCTCCCTACCCACACCTGCCCCCACTCAGGGCCCCCAGCACAGAATGCAGCCAGCAGGGACACCTCGCGGCTAAAGGGACCTAGGCTTGCAGCCTGCCACCAACCCCATGTAGGAGGAGGGCAGAGCAGGGTTAGTGTGAGGCAGGTCCAGCCTCTGGACCAGGCCTGCAGGTGCCACCTGACTTCCCTAGTGTCTGTGTGTCCTCTCATGTGACATCATAAACACCTTGACTCCTGCTACCGCACCTCCTGCCATGAAACCAAGATTTCTAAGCCAGCGTGGGCAGGGCACTTCCAGCCACACAGTGGGCCTCAGCCCCACCCCCAGGTGGGAAGAGCAACTTGCTGCTTGTTACCTGCTCAGGTCCCTCCTGGCTACAGAAGCTGGGACTCCAAGGCCAGAGGGCAAGGCAAGGCCTTGCCCTTCAGGGTGGGCTTCCCCTGGGTCACAGGTCCCACCCAGCTGTCCCACCCAGTAGCTCCTCGGGGCCCAGGTAACAGGTGGAGTCTCTGGGGTGTGGCCCAGGGACTGAGTCCTCACATGGGGTTGCATTCACCCCTCTTTATGGCGAGCCACAGAAAAGGCTGGGTGTGTACCCTCCTGCACAGCTGCAGGGAGGATGGGGGACCCTCACTCTCTGCTGGGACGAAAGCACCGGGGAGCATTCCAGGAAGGCTCCAAGATGCAGAGGATAGGGACTCAGGAAGCAGTGGTGCACAGGCAGGTGCACAGAGCAGTGCCGGGAGGTGACAGCGGAGGCCAGGGGCAAGGGCTGTTGCACATGCTCCATATGCACGTTGGCCGTCAGCCAGCCCGGGCCAGGGGACAGTATCCCCAACTTACATGAGGCGCAGGGAGGGAGGGAGAGGTGCTTGGGCCCTCATGACTAGCACAGGGACACCCCTGCTCCACCCTCTTCACCAGGGACCCAGACCAGCTTCGAGGACAACAGAAAACCATGCTGCTAACTCAAAACAGACACCGTACGCCTAGGCAGCCAAAAGCATCCCAGTGTAACTGGGCCCTTTGAGGTGCTCAGGTCCGGTTTCACTCTGCTGCCTGCACATCTGCTCCAAGGAGATTCCAGTCCCCACCCACACCCTAGGCATCCTTAGCCGAACTCCTGCAGAAAGAGGGACAAAACTCCCTGCACACTGCCCTTCTGTGCGTCTTGGGGCTCACGTCCACATGGGGCCAGATGTCTGGGGGTGCTGTGTCAGTTCTGAAGTCCATGCACATCTTCTGACTTCCATCCCGGGGACAACAGACCAGGAGTAGGCAGACACCTGCCGTCACCAGGAGCCGGCTCACGGTGAGCTGCGCAGTTCACTGAGGCTGTGCCATTTCTGAGCCCCAAAAAGTTTTGTCATCTCAGGCTCCATGCTCCTCTGACCACATCTTGTGCCTCCTTCCTTTCACTAGCTGGGTTCTCAGTCATGCTCCCCGCCACACCACCCCAGCTGCAGTCCACGGGCAGCCTGGGTGGGGCCAAGGCAGACAGCACAGCACCCATCCACAGGAAGTAAGGCGTGGGAGCAACATAGTACCTGGCCCGCCTGGCTGCTCAGGGCAAACCTTCACCTGTCAACAGGACAGCAGGGCCCCAGTGACACCCAACCTAGGTGCCCAAACATCCCAAACATCTTGTTCCAAATATCCCACAATTGCCCTGCAGTGCCCCTGGACCATTAGAGCAGGGCTTCAGGCATAGCATGGCTCCTCAGCCCCGCTGAGGCATGACCACAGCCTGTCCCCTCGTGGCCCTCCACCCCTGCATAGTCTAGGGGCTAATCTAAAGGCCTCCCAAGTCACAAGGCCCCACAGCCATGGGCTCCCCCACAGCCCTTCCCACAGTCAAGGGATGGTCTAGAAGCCTCCTCCCTACTTGGTTTGCTCGAAAGGGAAAATTCAAACCACGCTTTTTATCTGAGAACCTCTGAACAAGTTCAGGACCTTGCCCCTGCTCTGGAAATTCAGTTACACTAAGAAGCAGCAGGCTCAGGCCTCAGGGCCCAGTGTAACGCTGCCCTGCTTGGGAGTTGCCAGGAAGGGTGCTGTAAACCCAGACCCTTTCTGTTGCC